CAATTTTAATACTACCCGTAGACCTGCCGAGCAGCTGTAGATATCAAACTAAACCAAAGTATAAAAGATAGGATAAAAAAATCAAAAAGTTATGTGCTAGCCAAGCATTCAGGGATCGCGATGGGCCATAACAATGCCCCATGCAATCCCTTAGGACTCTTTCGGGATCTCGGCGTTCCCGGCCAATACACACTTCCTTCCCTGTCCATCCATGTAACCCCGGAGGGCCAGGCACCATGTAGAAGCAAAGAGCTAAGGGAGGAACAGGGCGGCTCCCTAAGCCCTGATCCTCCGAGTGGACCACATGCCCTGAACCTGTACGAAGGCGCCAACCTGGAACTCACGGACAGTACCAGCCGCAGTGCTCACCGATTAAGCTAAGGTACTGTTGGTATTTTACGACGGGAAATTAAACATCTTATTATAATGACTGAATAGAATGCGTGCGTTGAAAAGCAAAAAGAGACACAGACAGGTTTCGATCCCGAACTCCGCGATTCGTGGGCGACAAATCTAACCACTCGGCCATCAGGCTTTCTTAGAATTCTCCTCAAAAACAATTTGTCTTAACTATAGGCGGAGAAACGAGGAACATTGCTGTGTGCATCTGTTTTGGCTCCATGGACGAACAGAAGTCGGTATTTCGGGCAATAATGAGTCATCTGTTTTCATTAAATGAATTTTACAAACAAATTTTGTTTGGAAAATTGTATACGGCAGTCTCGTTAGTCGTAGGTCTATACGTATGCTAAACATACTTATCGTTACGCAACAATCAACACTATTATTATGTAGGCTTTTTTGAAACAGGCATCAGGTGCGTTCAGGGGCGGGTCCAGGAATTTTGGCGGGGAGGTGTCAGTCCCGTTAGATAAAAAAAGGAAACGATAATTATTTTACCGATTTGTTTGTTAACACTGCAAATCAGGCCTATATTCCGTTCGCTGTTCCCAACAGTCCTTTATCAGCCTGTTATCAAACATTGTTTTCGTGAAAAATAATGTGAACAACAAGTTGCATCATTAAATTTCAAAAAAACGAATATTTAAATGTAGACGAAAACAACATTACACCAGGACATCACATAGGGGCGCTGTTCACGATGCCGATGTACATCCTTTAGATAGCGCTTCGCTCGTACCCCCACCCTGCAAACAGGGTCTATATAGGGCGCTGGGCCGGGATTAAGGGCTGATGAGCTTCACAGAATCTTGCGAAGAAAGTAGGGATGGCATCCTGGATAACTTATCATGGCCTATATACATAAAGACATAATTAAAGCTGCTGCAACTGTTTAAAGGGTGCGGGCTAGTCTGGTTCCCTGACCCCATTGTCCTTTGGTCTTCAAAAATATCTTGAGATGGGGCCGGGAAACAGTCTAGGTGCAGGCCGGTAAATCGGTCCGAGATTGCCTACGCCGGCCGAATCACGATTTGCATGCTCTCAAATTCTTCAGTATTTGAGCATATTGTGGGCCATGAACTTGAGGGTTCGTACAAAAAAGGTGGAAGTCGTGCACTGAAACGTGAGCTTGTAGTTCTGTACAATTTGTATTAAATTGGGGCCTTAAAAGCGCTCTATTTAGCAATGGAGTGTAGGCAACGTTTTTCAAAATGGCGATGGGCTTCAGAACTAGGCCTATATTTTAAGGGGCTATCATTATTCGGATGGACATTTTCTCCCAAAAATCATTAGATTACCCCCAAAAATTGAAAAGCCTTGAAGATGATAAAAATAAGCTTTAATTTTGATGTGTGTTTGAACACCTTGGAGGGTAAATTGTGGGTATTTTTTTTCTGACTTTCTGAAGTGGGGGGATTTGTCTTGGGGTCTGTGGCAGTTTATTGCACCCATAAAGACACTGTCAAAAGCGGACACTTATGATCATTCTCGGACAGTATGTGGCGCTCTTTATCGCCGCCTACTGACGTGTCACGCTTTTTCCGTCAGCCGATGTCGCCGGCCCCGTTTTGCTTCGCACGTACCCGCCTGGCTCGCTATTAAGATCTGTAGCCGGTTGCAATTTGCCACTGTCAGGCGCGGATCCGGGGGGGGGGGGGTCCCCCAGCTCTTTTAAAAACAAAAACAAAATATATAGAAATTCATGATAAAACATGTGAAAGTCCCCCCTGCTCTGACACCCAAAAAAATTGTACCGTGGTAATAATGTCCGCCTTTTGCCAGAGCCAGCTTTGTTAGGGGGTAGGCCTATATGTACACTGTTCTGTGATCTAATGTTAATAATCGACAGATTTGAACAGCGCGCCCATTGAAAGTATGGAACGAGCCCCCACCCCCACCCCCCTACCTATTGATTTTTGGAGTTGAAAACTGGTCCAAAGAAACAACCCGGTCTACATTTCAGGGTTTTTTTGACGATAACCCCCCCCCCTGCGAAAATTCCTGGATCCACCCCTGACTGTGCACCCCCCCCCCCCCCCCCCCCCCCACCCGTTACGCCACTGCCCTGAGGTGGGTAAAATCGGCGCTAAGAATATCGGTAAAAGAAAGAACAAAAAACATCAAGCAACGCAGCATCTATTTTTTTTTTTTTTAGAGATCATTGAAATACTGCATCGTCACGCACAAATTTTCATGACATTTTTAAAAGTTCGTATACATATAGGGCCAACGTGCTTTTAAAAAAAAAAATTATTTTCTTTTCCGAGCGAATTTGTAATGAACTATTATGTCCTGTAACAAATAAATTTGCTTGTTTGTTTTTGCAGGCCTTTACACAGTTTTAATATACTAGTTGGTTTTAAATGACGCGCTCCAGTTCTGAAATTGCGCGCACTATCAGAACGCATTAGGCTAGGAGTGTCCCACTCTTAATTCGAAAGTTGAAATTTATTAATTGATTGCTGATATGGGCCGATTTTTGTTTTCGTGCGATGTCTCATTTGAAAGCTCATCGAGCAATTTTTTTTGGTTTAATTCCATTTGTAATTGTAAACAACAACCTATTCAGGATGATAAGTAATACATTTTTTGACACGACGTATAATATGGTATGACGTCGCGCCAGCACACTAGCACTGTACAAGAGTAACCCATGCAGGCGCGGATCCATGAGGGGGGGGGGGGGGGGGGGGTGGTCAACCCCGAGCTCTGTCAAACAATTTTTTTTCATAGAATTTACCTATAATGCGACCCCCCCCCCCTGCTCCACACCCCAAAAAATCTATACTGGTAATAACGTCCGCTTTTGCACAAAATACGGACAAAGGCAGCTTGGTCAGGGGGTATTTGTACACTACGCTATTCTGTAATATAGTGTTAATAATTGTAGGATTTGAACGGCGCCGGGCCCCAGTTGAAAGTATGGTGCGCGCCCGCCCCCTCCCCCATTTGATTTTCAGAGGAAAAAAAATGTCCGCAGAAAAAAACCTGTCTACATTTCAGAATTGTTTGGCAGATGAACCCTCCCCCCCCCCTGCTAAAATGCCTGGTTCCGCCCAGGCCTGTTGCCTGTTGTGTTCCACGCTTTTGGCGGGTCGTTTATATCGGAAGTTTTTTCAAGGTGTCAAAGTGCTACTTACAAACGGACGAGCCATCGGCTGATATCACGCTGCCCTGCTGCTGGGTCGTGGCCCCGCATCTTCAAACACTCTGGGGCCTCCAACAATCATTGTTTAAAATATTTCATTCTACATCAGCTACAGAAAATGTACATTTATTTGTATTCCCCCATGCCGACAATACTACAAGCAATGAGCCACAATTGAGAAATATTGGCCTGAGAGCAAACATAAAAAGTACAAACAATTGGAATATAAATATAAAAAACACGCTTGTTTTCTTGATAAATCAATAAAATCTCTCACACATCACAATGTACGGTACATTTTGGAGGGTAAGTTATTTTATTTTACTGAGCAAGAATTTTCTATCCTATTTTTAAGCTCTGGCAGGGGCTTCTGCATGTCAGTTGGTACGTGGTACGGTCATGGGCGTCGCCAGGATTTTTTCTAGAGGGGGGCAAAAAAAATTTTGACTAAAAATGCTTGTATTTTTCAACACATTTTCGAATTATCAGTTTTAGAGGGGGCAGGGACATTTCCCCCCCCCCCCCCCCAACTCATTAAATTTACACCACTTTGTCTTCGCGCCTCTTTTTTTTTTCTTTTTTTTTTCTTTTTTTTTCGCGTCTTTTTTTTTGGGGGGGGGGCTTTTCCGGGGGGGCAAGTGCCCCCCCCTTGCCCCCCCCCCCCCTCGCGACGCCCATGGGTACGGTCGGTCGGTCTGTCCCCTGAAAATTAACCAAAATAAGCCTCTAATTTTCCCATATGATATAACTATCCAAAAATTAAGTAAGATTTGAGGCTTTGCATGGTGTAGATACTAAATAATGAAAGGTTTGCGGAAACACCATGCGCGAATAATTTCCAAACTAAGAGAACGCGGGTTCTGAAAAGAACCAGAGGTATAAAATCGATGTTCCGGTCAGTATGCTCTGACCGTCTTCAGGAGAGTGCCTAAACTCTAAGAAAGTAAGCACGTAAGTGGAAAAGCGAAATCGGTGAAGTGTGAAGTTGCATCCTGTGTGGATGCCAAGTAGGTGGGATCTAGAGCAAAATAGTTGGTGTGCCCACTAAAGTGGAACAGTAGGGTTGCAGTCTCAGTAGAGGAAGGACCTAGGGGATAGGAGACCTAACTGTCTAAGGTGTAGCTAAGGACCTAGGGTATAGGAGACCTATTAGTCTGGAGTGGGAGCCAGTTGTTGCTGTGGTGAAGCCCGATGTCTTGCGGAACTGTGCATTGTGCATGCTTGCGGATCTCGATGTGCAGTTATATGTTATACTATAAGTCACGTGCTATTTATCACAAATCGCTATAAATCTTGGTATAAATCTAAACAACGGTGTTCATATGTGCCATCGGCGTCTCACTTTTTAGGCATCGAAATTTTAAGCTTTGGCAGGGATCATTTTGATATTTTGATGGACTCGCATCGCACTTTTACCAGTTTTAGCGTCTTAGTTGCCACCGGCTGAGGGCGCTGTCATTTGTAAACTCACTCGCAGATTCCGTTCCCACATTCGACTCATCGTCAGTCATCACTCGCGCGCATAAATTGAAAACATCTGATTATAAAGCGTAACCAACTACCAAGTTAAATGGAGATGAAGCGGCTCTGACTTCTGAGCTTCCTAAAACGGAGAGACTTAATCACTTATTCCATTGAGTGGAAACGCCGTTCAGACTGCACGCCAACCAAAATCGTATGCGATCTGAAAATAAATGGCGGCCGTCAACTTGCTGGCGGAACTGCTGTTGGACCCCGCTGTCACTTTGGGACCGTTCGACACTTTCCCGCAATTTCAAGAATTGTTTCCACCCAAGTATAGGTCAGTATTAAAGTCCGGTAGCGTACAATTTAACACTCAGATTGCTACTCCAAATTCAGAGGGAGGGGGGGGGGGGGTGCGCCTCCCGGGGGGGAGCAGATTGAGGAGCAGATTGAGGAGGGGGGGGGGGGGGGTGAGCAGCCACATCATGCTCATCTGTTCATAAGTTACAAATATGTTCTACACAACATCATCTTAATTTTTCATGGGCATCAATTACATTAAGGACCCCTTCCTAGTATTAAACTTAAGTGAAGAGAATTAAAACTCAAATTTGTGTGTTTTCATCTCATAAGTACTTAAAGGGCAAGATTACCATATGCGAAGTTCACTAATTTTCCTCTGTATTGACTAACAAGCCCTCAGATAGCAATTTCATGTCATCAAAGTCAATTTGAGCAGTGAGAAAATACAAGCATTTTCTTAGAGGGTTTGTACACAGGGTGTTGAGTGAACTTCGTATATGGAAATCTTTCCACTTAAAGATGTTTAGCTTTCTGTGAATGCACGCGAGCATAGGATCTTGCATTGCCAAGAAATTTGAGGGGAAAAAAACACCTCAACATATAGGTTTTCATGTAATTTACAGTTTTAGCCTTTTTTGTGCTCTTTAAATTTGGTCACAAACTTAAAATTTGAATCAGGGCTTAGCCCTGTGGATGATTCTGGGCTATGTCATGTATGTGAAATAAATGCCAATTTTCAAGTAAATGTGGTTCAAGTGTGTTGTGTGCAATGGAGTAATTGAATTAACACAACTGTCAAGATTGTAATAACAAATCTTTGTTCATGTAGGGACCATCCAGACGCCCGTCTCTTGTACAGAGCGTTCCAGAGACAGCGTAGAATTGTGCGTGAAAAGGTTGCCAAGGATATCCAACGACGGTACAAACAAGGTCTGCATGTGAGTACTATGGGCACCGTGTGCCAACAAAAGAGGGCGCCCTTTTGCCTTACAACGACGTCCCATTGGCAGGACACACGTACACAGTTCGCTGGTTGACGCGCACACAGTTCCTTGTGTGTGACGCACATACACCAGGGGGCGTAGTCAGGCAAGATGGCATCGTTCAGTCACCCCCAACTGTACTTTCGGTAATCCTTACTTTTTGGACACCTCTATTTTGTACGAGTTCTGTTCAAAACTGACTTTTGCAGATGACTGTCCAGTACCAAAGTGACTTTTGCAGGCTAAAGAAGTCTTTATTCTTCAGACAAACTCATGTTAGTTATAATTTTGAAAGCACTTTCAAAGAAAATGTGACTTTCCTACCTTTTTTTGCAGTTTTTTGCAGTTGCTTTTAAAATTTATTTTCTGTTTGTCATCGTCGTCTTTAACCCCTCATAAATCAAAGCCCTGCCAGCTCTTTCTACAAAATTAAACCTGCTGATATTCAAGAGGTGTCATTGCCAAATGTTCAAATGTGTCAATAACTTATATCAGAATTTCACTTTTGAGTGTCATATTCAGCTGTTTTGGTGAGTCTTTTAACCTTATATAGGAATGGGGTCCTGAAAGTAAGGATTACCGTACTTTCTTTGCTAATGAAGTGGTAGGTACTTGTCCTGCTTGTGAACGGAGCAGATACAGGTTTCCTCGGACATGACATTTTTAGCGTTGTTGCAATTGACTCGGTGTACCCCCCTCGCTTAGTCCCATGAATGTGGCTTAAATACTGGACTTCCTCCTTATATAGTAAGCCACACAACCGGTATACCAACATGTGTGGAAAGGTCCGTTGCTAGGGTAGCAGAAAATCAAATAAAAATCAGAACTATTTTGTCACTTTATAATCACAAAACCCAATACATGTACTGAACTGCATATTAGCAAACCAAACTTTGAATTCCGTACCTTCAACAGTGTAGTTATCCTGTAGTTTCGGGCAAAAGTCAGACGGCTTTTGGGCACTATAGAAGCATGTAGCGTCCTGGTAGTCTGCTTGAGGTCATAGGTCATGACAGTGGTTTCCACTGTGCGTACGTAACTTTACCAACGTGCATTGGTGGCTTTTTACTGCCATTAAGTAATCATCGGTCTGTGTGCGCCTGCATGTGTGCACTGTTGACCAGAATTTAATGACAGAATGTAAATGTGTTCAGATCCTACCGGTACATGTACCTTTGTTTTCCATAAAGCATGGAAGCCATTTTTGTTGTCATACCCAGTATTTTGACAATTCGGGCGATTCACAATGCAGTGCGCCACCAAGAGTTTGCCATGGAGAGTCAACTTTCCAAGTTTACGTCGACAAAATATGGCCCATTTGAATGAGTGTCAGTAGACACATGAGCTAATTTGTTATAGATTGGGGCAGAGCATTCTGCCGCCTTACCAAAAATCACCATATTGATACAAAGAAAAGAAAAGGGCAAACATATACTCGAATCATTCATTTACGAAACTACTGACCGAAAAAAACAAACAATTTCAAATGTCTCGCGCTGCGAATTTGTCGACCATCTCCCACAATGCACTGGGAAAAATGAACTCTCCGTGGCAAACTATTGGTGGCGCTCTGCATTGTGAATCGCTTGAATTAGTGAAATTAATATTTCTATAACTTTTACCTTTCCTTACAGGGCAGTATGAGCATGCAGGGTAGTAGGACTACAGAGAATCAGTCTTTAGAAGAAACGGTTCATTTCTTGGAAGACAAACAAGCTGAAGTAGAAGAGGTTTGTACATGAAATTCAAGTTCAACTTGTGAGTGTGGACACGGCAAAATAACAAAACCAATATTTCTGTTTCATTAGTCACCTTTGTAATTCTAGTTGATATGGCAGGTGCCTTTCATCAAGTTTTTGGTCACAAAATTAAACAATTGAAAGAAAAAGTATTGGAAAAACTTAGATAATGATAAATAATTAATTTTGTGAGTCTCTGTGTAATGTGGATCAATGATGAACTTGCAAGAATGTGCATAAAACAAAGCTTGGACCGAATGTAAAATAAGAAAATGGCCATTGAATTGAGACAGCAATTTAGTCAGAATGTTTTCTGATTTTCTGAGTTTTCTGAGTTTTCTGATTGCTGTCACTGAAGCTGGCTTCCCAGCCACTCGGAAATTAGGGAAACCTTGAAAATGAGTTTCCAATTTTCCAGTCAGGAAAAACTCAGGGATTTTTGGAGAAACACCAAAAATCAGGGAAACACTCAGGGAATTTGACAGTGACCCAGAAGGGAAAGGTTTTCACCAGTTTGGCGTGTGTGTGTTGTGCCATGTGTCCCAGTTTTTTCCAAGTTGTTTCCAAATTGGCCAGTCGCCGTTTGCGAGTTAGCCATGCCCCTTAGACAACCCTATGGAGTTTTTGTACCATTGAGTTTTGTTTGTCCATTTGTTTGTCCATTTGTATTTACATGTAATTGGACAATATTTCACAGGCTGTGTCAACGCGATTCTAACGCAATAGGTCAATTGTTTTCATCAACTGCTTTGATGGCTTGTTAGTCATGTTAGTGTTTTAATGCAGTGTACATATTACATATCAGTATCTTACAAAATGAAGTTGCCTTGCTGCAACCACCTCTTGATGTCCCAGCAACTTCATATGGTGAAAATATTTGTCATGGAATTTTGGAAGTTTCTCAGGGAAATATCGGGGGAAACTTAGAGAATTTTGTTTTCATAAAGTGCTGGGAACCCTGTGAAGGAAGCAAAACTACAACTAACATCCTTTTTTGTGCGATGTCTCAACATTTTTTATTCATGACCTTGTTTATGTAAATTGTCAAAGACTTAGTTTGCTTCAGGTATGTAAAGACTTAGTCTTCAGATTTGTTTTGTCCTGTTTTTGTCCTGCTGAATGCAGGAACTGAAAGCCACAAGACAGGAAATAGGCACTCTTGAGGAAGCCATTCACAGGTAAGAATTATACATTTCAGTAGGTCTTTTTTATCAAGTTGTAGTTGAGTATTTTTAGTCCAAGTCTTGAGTCTCAAGAGTTGAGTCTCACAAGATTTGATAATTAAATCTCTCTTGGCACACTTGAGTCTTTCGGTTGAGTCCAAGTCCGAGTACCAAGTTGTTTGGGTTGAGTTTTTTTATTCTCAGTAGCGGGTCACTTAGCTCAAGTTCGAGTTCAAGTAACAAGTAACTTGTGATTGCTTGGCTACGCATACATGCAGAGCTGCCAACTCTCCCCGATTCTGCAGAAAATCTTCTGAAAATAAACCAATCTTTCCATGTTCTGATGATTAAATGTGTAAATCTCCCTGATTATGGGAACTTTTGCCCTATTATGTTGAATGTTATTATAAATATGTCCCTGGTAGTTGTACAGAATCTCCCTGATTGCATGATGCAAATAAGGCAGCTCTGATGCATGCAGCATTCTGGAAACCATCGACTTGAGTCACGAGTCACGAGTGTCGAGTCTGAGTTGTGATTGTCAATTCCGAGTCCAAGTCTTTTGACTTGAGTGGAGATTGAGTTGTGACTGGAGTTGTGACTCAAATTGAGATGGACTAAATCCGAGCACTTGACTCAAGTCAAACAATTCTGCCTGTCTTGCCCTCAGTGAATTTTGGTGCTGGTGCAAATAGTGTTTCCAAAACTATTATTAACTAAAAAATAATGCCCTATACAATTCTGAAAAACTGAATCTCTGAAGACAAAAAGATATCTACCAGACGGTTGGCCTTTTTTTTTAATTCTTAGTACACAATAACAAGATCTACCATCTTTGTTGTCATACATAATTGGATAAATTTGAAATTGGATGGTTAGAAAATGTGCTAAAGCCTAACGCTTTATGATAAGTTTTGTTTTCAACACCTTTAAATGTTCTATTTTTTCCACAGCCTTTCGTCACGTCTTGAAAAGTCGAAACCAACTGGTCCATTATCTCTAAGCAACCTCAATCAGCTTGAAGAACTTAAAGTAAGTTATTTCTTGTGCCTCCTAGGCCTTGTGATCCAATCTGATTTTACAGCAATTTCATCCTTCACGTCAAACTTTTAAAAAAAATATCAGAAAAGATATGAGAGCTTAAAGGTAATACACAACATTTGCAAACATCAAAAAACAACAACCAAATTGTTATGAAATATACTTGACTGTAAGTGAATAATAGTTTCAAGCATCCTGTGTAATCATGGCACCTGGTGTGCTGTCATTTTCAAGAGATGTGAAATTTTTGTTTCAATTTTCAACGATGCGACCATCGTTGGAAAATAACTAACACAAGGTCTCTGTTTGTGAAACCAGGATTAACATTTCTGGAACAGGAATTAAATCATTTTATAACCAAAAAAAAACACTTCCAAACAATACTAAAAGAAGCCGTTGTGCATTATGATTAATGAATTAAATGTGATGCGCTGTTGTGATTCTCTTTTCTCTTTCAACTGATCAGAGCAAACAAGACCAAACTTTTTAGGTACAGACATTGTCACATTCCATTCTAGTGTCTTGAACTTTGACCTTGTTTGCCGGGGGGGGGGGGGGATGTGACCATATCAGACCGGACAACTTATTTTTAATTTATTTTATTTAATTTACCAAAGTCCTCTGTATTTTTAGCATCCAATCAAAGATAAGAAACCCTTCTATATTTATATTTTCTTTCTATAATTAACATGTAAACTAAAATGATAGGCTGTTAATGTAATTGGCATAAGTTCGACCCCATTTGATCATTTCTATATGAAATGTGCAATTTGTTTTTTCTATTACAGGGCTTGGCAGCAACTCTCAGAGATCCAACGTGATTTGACCCAACAGTGGACCTGCAATTACATGTACATGTATGTAAGGGTCATGGTCTTGTATAGTGACCATTAAGGGCCAGCGCAAATATGTAATTGTTGCATTTAAAAATTTACAACGCATAAAACATAATGTTGAAAAAGTATGGGATAAATTGCCTGGGTCATGAAAATACAGCTGGCTATATACTGCAAAGTGGGACCAAATACATTTGTAGAAAAAAAATTAAGTGGTTGTGCTCCTGAAACTTGCTAGAGATAGGAAGTGCAAGTCAGACCCCCAAAAATGAGTTAAGTTTGTTTCTGTTTATCAAAATCCCCTCACTACGGGCTTGATGGCTTGAAATAAGTTGTTTATTTGTTAAAAACGCTGTGTTATAGACCTTATGTATTAAAGGCAGAGATATAGGGAAATGGTTTTGTACAGCTTGAATGGCCGTGAGTAGCCTTATGTATATGCATTGTTACTAAATTAAAATAACTAAACCAACCTACCTGCAATGCATAACGTCTATAGACTGGCTCACTCTACGTTTGCAAAATGAGTGCTGCGGTCACTTGACACTGACTTTCGATGGGAAAGGCCAAACTGCTTGATTGGTGTGTTAAAAATGTTGACTTTTAACAGTACAATATAGTGACAAATGGGAAAGTGTGACCTAGTGGTTAGGGTTCGTGACTCATGATCTGAGGGTCAGGGGTTCGAATCCTGCCGCTGGCCATATGTTGTGTCCTTGGGCAAGCCACTTCATGCCCACTTGCTTCTCTCCACCCAGGAGTATAAATGGGTACCTGCATTAGCTGATGGGGAGTAACCTGCGATGGATTGGAATCCTGTCCAAGGGGAATAGAAATATTCGCAGTCGTTTTTGCTACTGAAACCGGAGATAAACGCCGGCCTGATGGGCCACATTGGCTCTTGACAGACTTTTACTTTGTGCTATGGTGACAAATATTAAAGTAACGCTTGGGTAGCTGTTTTACCTGTGGACATTTGACCGGTGGTTTGATATAAATGCAATATGCATGTACAATAACATTGTATCATCTTCTCATTTGTATCAATACCTGTGTGTATGAAATGTATAATAATTAAAGAGTGAACAAAATGATGGCTTTCATTGTCAGATGTTTTGTTGATTGATATGACCTTGAGTGTTTTGGAGCCCAATGGAAGACTTTTGAGATGGTTTGGTGACAGCAACACACCAGTCTTTTTGAATTGTTTGCGACATGTTTAAGTTAATGTGCACATGTTCAAAACGATGCAAACGATGAGAAAAGGACTGGTGTGTTGGCTGCCACCAAGTATCTCAAAATTCTCCCATAACATGCCTCTATCAAATTAGGTTTTGCCCTTCACCGACGTATAAACACTGTATACTCGGTGTTTTACCTCCCGAGTAAAAGTTGGAAAAAATCACTCGGGTGGGACTCAAGCCCATGACCACCTGCTTTCTAGTGCAGATGTCTTACCACTCGACCACTGAGTATACAGTGTTTATACGTCGGTGAAGGGCAAAACCTAATTTGATTTACATCACCCCGACGCAAAATTCCATCTTACGAGTGCCTCTTATCAGTTTCTAACCACAGAATGTTATGCCTTGATCGCCAATCTGCTAACTGCTAACCTAGCACAGGGTTTGTATGCTAACCCTATTATAAGCAAACTATCCTTTGCTATGTTTGAAAATACATGCATGTGCAAAATTAAGCCTAAGCTAATCTGATAATGTGCTAAGCGATGTTAGTTTTGTATTTGCTGTTGTCGGTAGAGATTCTGTGCTTACAGAAGGCAGAGTGTTGAAATTGGGTTCACATCAGGGTTTGTTAGGGGGTGGGGGTTTCAAGGCTCCTCAGAAACAACACCACCCAAATTCGCTCTTTTCACACTCCGCCATTGGGCATGCACAGCCTCGATCTGGCAACTTTACACAATAAAAATGGACGGTTCAGTGATCTGAACCCCGACACGGGAATCACTGAACCGGCTATATTTATTGTGTAAAGTTGCCAGATCGAGGCTCTGCATGCCCATGGCGGAAGTGTGAAAAGAGCGAATCTCTCCCCTCTTTCCCCCACCGATTTTTATTTTATGGAAAGTACCTTCACATACATAATGTGCAATCTGGACAGTGCCTCACGCATTCAAGAAACAGAATAAGGCTCATTTTTACTTCCCTAAACCAATGTACTTCTCTAATATAATGTTGGAAGCTTGAAGATTGGACCTCGGCTTTCCAAAGATCCACGTTCCAACCCCGGTGGTGATTATACCGATTAAAGAAAGTTTACAAACTTTAGAGTGTGTGCATTCCGGTCAGAGTTTTGATCTCGTGGTCTCTGGTTTAGATTTTGTCGGTTGGTCAGACTGTCTGCGGCTTCCTTGGTTGACATCTCTGCCAATGTGTTTCTTGAGGAATGTCAGTATCCGTCCCCATGCAGCCTCCTGTGCCTTTGCGTGCTCCTTCAGCCGGCCTCCTAGAGCCATCACAATATCTGGGTTGCCAACAGAAGAGGAACAGAATTAAGAATGTCAACTCTTAAAGAAAAATCATTCAAAGGTCCATCTGGAGGTTCTGGAAGATGTGTTGGATTGAAGACGGTGGAGCTCAACTACATGTACTATTACTTCAAAGCTTTGAGTTTGATGCTTATTGAATCGTTTTGTTGTTTGTTTTGTTGGGGGGGGGGTTGTGGACGATTTTAGAATGGTTGGGAAGCCGGTTCCCAGCAAAAGTGTTTCAAATTTGTCTAGTCAAGGTTGTACATCAACCGGCAAGTTCAGCAAAACTTCGTTATAGACGTAGACCAAAGAGATAGAGCCCCAACCTCCGTAACAAAGGCCGACATCTGTATTACCTCTTGTACCTTTTCCCGAGGTATACCTGGAACATGTGTGTATACAAGTGGAAACTTTGTGTGGAACCAGGTCTCTTGTAGCAGACTAGGTCTATGGTAACTGGTAAAATATTAGTTCTGTGTTTTATTGTCCTGGTGTTCAGTCTCAAATCATTACAGGTGCAATCATCTTTTGGAGTCTAGTTAACCTTTAATGACCGAAGTGCTGTTCGAGTATGATATTTTAGTAGCGTAAGAGAGACAGTGGAGACGTTCAGTGTTGTCAAATCCTGACAAGTCAACACGCGATCAATTAATTAAAGTCTTCCAGTTTGAAGTTAAGCAACAAGCTACTGAAATGAAAGTCACGAAGGGTACTTTTTTGGTTGGTTTATCTGCTGTTACTTGTAACGGTAATGTTACCGAGCCGAAGTTGTGACGCTATTAGACTTGTGATCTAAAATGGTGAAATGACTTCCGATGAACTTGTCTGCAATTTTATCCGGATTACAAGGAATAACTCACCCATGACATTGACGTAGGCGAACGTGCAAACTGGACCATAGGGCGGCTCCAAGATGTGCCCCGCGCCTTCATAGATGATGATCTCGTAATTGTCTCGACCAGTCACTCCTCGTCTTCTGAAGGCTTCTGATAGGTACTCTAGGATTGGAACACACTCGTCGGCAGAACCACCCATAAAGAGGACCGGACATGTAATGTTTTCTATCTGTTCGAGCAAATGAAGAAATTGCTGTTTAGGTCCTGAAGGACTTTTGATGGGGAATTTTCAAACCGTAAAAAAAATTAAAACATCGTGATACATTCATCTGTCTGGAATGACATTGGGGTGTTGTATTTTTAAGAGAAAGCGGACCAAAGTCGAGTGCTTAAAGGAACAGCTGCAACCAAGCCATCATGCAATAAATCACAAATCAAACATAAGTCAATCGCAAGTCATCCAGTGTCAAGTTAAACTGTTTGTTGGCATGTTAAGAATTTTATATGGTCACTCAGAAAAAGAGGCAGTAATTGGAAATCTTGACCAAATATGAGGCTTATTGAAATTGGATCTTAAATGTTTTGTTAACCTCATACATTGACCTTGTCTATCTACTGGCGACAATATTAGTTGGGCCTCAATGAAATTTGTTGTTCGTACCTCAATGAATTCTTTGTCTTTGATGTCTCGGGCCGCGGGCCATCCTGTCAACGGGTGAAGAACGCCCTCATCGTCAAATGTAGTAGCCTCAGTATCAAACCTGACATAACGACAGACATTGACCTCCATTGATAGACCATGAAAGAATTATTAGACACAACATTTCACGTGTGCATTACTACTGTGCAATCATATCTTCAGATGCGTTTGTGACATTTTTGAGAATTGTAAAGGGGTTAATTGGTGAATGTTACCTGGAATGAAGCAATATCACAGTCAAACGATGTGAGAGATTATGAAAGTGAGGTTTAAAGACTTGATATTTGTTACATTACATGTATGTCAAGAATACACTAGTAAAAGTTTTAGACCGTCATTTTGCCTCTGAAGGCGATTTGTGGATCGATGATTTGTAGATGTGCTAGAGAGATTATAACCCAAAACTTAAAAGTTTCACCGTTCGCCCGGGGCCGATCCGTTTCAAAAATTACATCGTCGTTGTAAGGGGAAGACTTGCATGCACGTTTAAAAAAAATTCTATGCTTCAGAAAAGTTGCCCAGAAGAGTCTGTTTTTACAGAACATATCATCTTTGGTAAATACATTTCTTCTCACTCACCTGCAGCAGCAAAGCTTTTTTTTTATTTTAAGGTAAAAGGTAAAATGTCACCAAGGGAGCATCTTACCATACGAAGGGTAGTGCCTTCCCTCTGTAGTTGAGTGTGACATTCGGCATGAATGGCGGGCAAGACACGAACGCCGTAGCCTTAATAAGCTGTGGGGAGAACAAAACAAGCACCAAGAGTGAATGTTAGTATTGAGTCTTGCTCTTCACCGACGTACGTATACGCACTGGTCATCAGTGGCGCACCCAGGGGGCGGCCTCGGGGGGGGGGGGGCTTGAGCCCCCCGCCCCCCCCCCCAAGAGGTGTAGAAAAAATATATATATTTTTGGGGGTAATTTTTTTAGTCCCATGATTTTACCTTGGTGATGTATGTGGCCTATTTTCGAGTAGTATAATAGGGGTGTAAGTGGCGCCACCAACGTCAAAATAGTCCCCCCCCCCCCCGAAAAAAACCTCCATTTTTTTCAGCGGCCCAAAATGTTGGGCAACTTTTTTTGAAAAAAAAAATGTTAGCCCCCCCCCCCCAAAAAAAAACCCCCAAATCCTGGGTGCGCCACTGCTGGTCATACTCAAGAGGTGGCCGAGATCAGGCAAGAGGAGAAACCCACGAGCTGTCTCGGGTGGGACCCGAACCAACGACCTCCTGTTTACAAGTGCTGACCGAAGAGGTCCACGTAGCCAATATATGTTGCCCAAGACGGATGAGGATTCCTCCCTTGGTATTCCAAGGGGTGTACCGTTCCAGGCAAAACGGCTGTTGCAAACTATGGTGGAATTTTCTATAATTTGTTTGGCCGCCGATGGAAGAAAAAATGCTCAGTGTACTATTAAACATAGAAACTATAAAGTTATGCTCATTTTATCATAGGAAATGTGTATTGACCTTCATGATATCTATGGACAAGGCATCATTATGTTTGAAATATTAATAACGGTAAAATTGGTAGTGGTAGGCTATCAGCTTCAGTCCAAAAATTGGGCCACCGGTATCAAGTGATTGAAAGGAGCAATGTTCATAGTGATTTTTGGCAAGGTATGCACATCTAGAGTTGGAAAATGTGTTATATCTTTGCAGTGTGAGCGGTGGCAGTTTTTTTGGGTGTCATCACTTTATTAATTTTTTTTCAAAATGGCCGCCAATATGCTTGTTACCGGATTAATTATATGTGGTAACAAGCATGTTTTGGCCGCCATTTTTTTTTTAAGTGATAGCACCCAAAAAGCTGCCACAGCTGCAATGCTATCACATTTTCCAACTACAGGGGTGCATACCTTGCCAAAAATCACAATGAGCATTATTCCCCTCATTTGATACCGACCAAACCCCCAGGCTGATAGCCTATGGGTTTTATGAGCGATTTTTGTTTCGGGGGGGGGGGGGTGGATAGCGTTTTCAAAGTTAACTACCTGATGCACTTCACATTCATATTGACAGAGTTGCATTTACCTGCCATCTTTGAGGCGTTCTGTTATGTTAATCCATTCACAATGAATGCATGAAGTCTGCGTGTGCTTATCCCTGTTGAACAAAAGCAGACACCTCAAAGATGGCGGCAGTGCAAACAATCTACAATGGCAGGGAGACCAAATCAATTCACATTGACGTCTCGTTTGGCAAAATGTATCCCTACCACTGATCTCTGTTATGGATAGCGCTTCTGGCCGTGGGGGTGAAGTCACTGGACGCCATTTTCACACTCCCTTCGGCAACGTAAAAGTATATGCAAAGTCATAAATACTGTGGGCAAAATGAATAAACACAATCAAAATCCAAAATCGCTTCCTAAACTGTTATAATTCCGCGCTTTTTATATGCGGATTCGTGCGTTGTGGGGCTTTTGAGGGAGCTACAAAATGGCCGGCGCGTGTGAGCGAGGGCGTCACGGTCTTGTGCACACGCATATGGTCGAAGCGCCATCCAGTTAGTATAATAGAGATCAGTGATCCCTACCTGCGGGTATTTGATAGCTAAATGAAGTCCTATGGACCCTCCCATCGACGATGCTACAATCCCTATACCTCCAGGCTGGACATACGATTGGGCTGCGAACCACTTTAACGCCTCCTGTGAGAAACAATCACAGCATAGAAAACAAATTCACAATCAGCCTCCGGGGAAAAATCATGCTCGTGTTATTTTTATATTTCTGAAAAATTGTAAAAACTTTCGTGAAAAGTCGATCAGTACTGTTGCCCGATAATTGGTAAATTCTTTGAAAAACTTCCCACGGCTCAAGTGTTGGTAAATTCGATTAACATTTTTTTTTCTAAACTTTTGGGAACATTTTGCTCGCAGTTGTGTTTTTTGTAGCAAACATTCGGCACGAACATGAGCAGCAATTGACAATATAAGTAGTGCCATCAAAGTACAAAGCCATATTCCAGCTTTATGTGTGTTTTTAATTGATTTCATATTGAAACAAAGTACTCGCACAATCAAAGTAAATACTTTTAAATTGAAAAGAAAAAACACATTTTTTTTATTTCACTTTAAATGTGAACTTTAACACGTGTTTCTTTTTAAAGTAGGCTTAGTATTTTTAAGTCGTCCTCAGTTCAACTTGCGCTTTGCTTGGGAACGAGGTTAAATCGTGGCTTCAACAAAATGTTGATGTGAATGGTCACCTCGAAATATTCAAAGTCGACATTGAGCATAGTCTCCGATAAGTCTTCGTAGGCGAAGATGGGCAGAGCGTAGCTCGCGTAGCCACGGGAGGCTAGCAAAGCAGCACGGAACTCCATCAATCCCCCAGCCGTACCGAACATGTCCAGAACGGCGGGAAATGGTCCTGGCCCTTGACAAGATAGACAAAAAAAAACAGAGATCAGTGTTTTAAATGGAAAGGAAATGTATTTGTATTAATAGTGGAAATCGAGGACAAAAACGAGGAAACTCCCTTGGGGACATTTACGTATTGAGGACAGTCCTCGATTGAAAAACGTACAAAACCATTGAGAGGAAACACATGACTGAGAAAAGACCTTTGTTATTTAAGGACCTGTTGTCATGTGAGGACAGTCCTCGATTGGAAAAGGTATACAAGACCAATGAGATGTAACACATGAGTATAAACCCTTTCTCCGATTAAGGACTTGTATCCGAGTGAGGACAGTCCTGATGATTTAAAAAGGTATACAAAACGTACCAATGAGGGCCTCAACAAATTGAGGACGAGTGACCTAGTGAGCACACTCATTGAATGGAAGAGGTACGTGTGCAAAACCAATGAGGTGACCTATGAGAAACGTCTTTTTTTCTAACTTAGGACCTGTAGCCACGCGAGGACAGTCCTTGATTGAGAGAGGCGTATGAAACCAATGAGAGCTGACACATGAGGAAACCCCTTTCTATCTGAGTACCTGTAGCCGTCCTCGATCAGAAAACTTTTCAGTATGGGTTCACCATGTAGCCATAAAGGCCAGAAATGATGGACAATGCACAAGTCGATCAGGAAACCGACCTTTCGGTTTGTAAACAACCCCTCGTATGAAATCATGGCCGGTCAGCTTGATACGGTCGACATCAGTCTCTCGCATGTACCACTTGTGAGCCACGGCTACGTGGATGGGCTCGTCCGTGGCTAGCTGGGTCTCGTCAAGATGGCCGCGATGTAGGGACAGTATAACCACTACGGGCTTGTCAGGGTGCTTCTTGGCGAAACGGATACCAAGCTGTTGACCTGGGCAGGGCTGGAGGCTCCAGAACAGGCCCATGGGCTCAACACCTGTAGAGAGGATCTTCAAATTAAAGTGGGCTTGGCTTAATAAATAGTTTATCAAGATGATTCAGCTAATTTATACAGCCATAATTACCATTCATCTGCATCTTAATTGGAGCCAAAAAAAAACACTTTGCTACACCACCCCCTCCCCCTGCTCTGTCAAAAATGTATTTGTTTCATAAAAAAAATCCTTTAAAATAATGCGAACGATCCCCCCTGGGGGGGGGGGCGAATGCACATGCACTTCCAAACTAGTATTATCTCCCACCCGTCCCTTGACCCCACCCCTGATTTTTAAAACTCTCACCACTGTATGTGCCTCCGATCGAGGGATCCTTGTCGAGTGAAACACGGCCGTCCTCGTCGGCTATGAGGTGAGCCCAGCCCTGGAATCTCTTGGTGATCTCCGTCACGTGTGAGCGGACGGTGACGGGACAATGCGACGCTAGCCCGGCCACTGAGATGACCACTCGCTCGTCCATCAGGCTGGAACTCGGACTGACGCTAATAGTTGCCATGAGAAAGTCTCAAGGGAGCTAGAGCTAGGGGAAAAACAGGTCTGTGATAAAGTACAACTTGAGCGAAGCCCCCGTGTACGGCGTAACGCAGCCCTGCTGTTTCTTTCCGTGTTGTCCTTGAACGGTCTTTGGCCTTGCGGTTGATTGGTTCAACAAAAGGATAATTTAAAGTTTGAACGGCAACGAGTACTAATGGCTGTGATTTATCGATGTGATCAAGTAAGGTACACATATCAACGTGCAGTGATCTGTTTACAAATATCACATTTGTCAGTTATTTTTCAGTGCGAGGAGCGATAACAGCTGAAGTTCATGGGCATGGAGTACCGGTTCACTATTTTTAGGTTAGCAGTATCGGACGGTGTTGATTTTTGCCCCAACAACCCATCCCTCTTAGTAAAGACCCGCATGCATGGGCGTCGAGACTGGGAGGGGGCGCTTGCCCCCCCCCCCCCGAAAAAGCCAAACAAAAGACATCAAAGACACCATATTCTCCCAAATGTTCCCCTATCTGCCCCACTATTTGCAAAAGTTACCTTGTTAAGCATTGTAAAATACAAGAGCCAAAAATAGATGTTTTTATTTGGAACATGTTATCTTAATGTTTGTGTTTGCATTGCTATAAATAAACGGGTGTATTTGAAAAAAATGATGGAGTTCAGCATACATCATAATTGGGGCTTTTTCGAAACGTAGGATCGATCTCCGAATGCGGCGTCGGAAGAATTGAGGTCCCTGACTTGGAAAACCCAGACTTTATGCATCTTCGAGCTCGTTCTGCTTAAATAATCAAACATTATAAAATGAGGTCACCAAAAAAACCCATAAATCAGTGTATTCCTGTAAAATTGTATTGGATACTGAATTCTGATATCGATGAAACCGAAGCTGGAGCGAAGTCGAGGTTTTGAAAACACCACGTAAACAAGAGCAGTCCCCACCTGCCAATCAAAAGCTTTACTGTCTCACTTCCGACCAATAGGAATCAATCTCGACGCTGAGTGCGTGACCTAGTCAGCCGGTTTCATTTCGGTATCTCTCCTCGTTTAAAGAAAATAGGCCGGACTGTTTTATCAGAATGTGATAATTTTATTTGGTCAAATATAAATTTGTCTAATAGTTTTTGCGAACACAGCATAAAGGTTTAAGATGAGTTGAAACTGTGTTGAAATAATTTAGTTTCGGTTGATTTGGTAAGAATTTCCAGCCGCGTATGAACATTATCTGCAGGTCTCATCATCGCCGTGTAAAACGAATATCTATAGCCTTATCACTGGCTACTTTCTGTGAATGTGATTAAGCGCGAGCAAGTTTGCTGTGGTGCTCAAAATTCAGAACGAATACGGAATAGACTGCACTCTTCTTTTGCCCACACATAAAATAACAATTTTCAGCGGATTGTTCGAATGAATATATCTCACTACCTCGATGGAAACAATGTGAGAAAAACTTCCACGTGGAGTGTGGTTTTCGGTAGAGTATTTCGTTGGGAAACTAGGCGAGCTTCAACGGTGTGCCTACGGCCGGCCGCGAGAGAGTCGGCTGTGCGGACGGCTAACGATGGATCAAGCTGCAGTCGGATATTTCCAAGATGGCGTTGCCGCTGCTCTTTGGAATTTATGCACTCCAATTTCTGCACTGACGTCTCAGACTTCTTACCCTGCATGGCCGTGAGTTTAACTGTATATGGAACAGAAACTTTAACTGAGTTTTCCAGTGAACTTTGTGGAAAATGAACCCCGGCCGGGGTTCCACCCTGTCGCTGTTTTCTTGAAATTCGCAGTAGGCCTACTCCAAGTTACACTACTCAGTTCTCTGACTTCTGTCCATGGAATTGTCGTGAGCGCAATACTAACTAAACTTTAACTTAAACTTACCACGGACTTTGAGGAAACGAACCTAAACCGTCATTAACTCTAAAATTGTAGTTGTTTTGTCCGGGGCATACTCAATGTACCGTACATGACATGGCACAGTCTTGTCTAAAAAGCGACGAACCCTTTATACAAGATTTGAATCAAGAAACTGAGATAAATAGGCTTACATTAGTTGAACTGTGAACTAAAACTGTGAAACAGTTCACACTCCAGTGTCCTGGATTTTTTGTGTCACAGTGGAATTTATCATGTGGACAAGTAGAGAATTCGTCATTTGGTAAGTCAAAGACAATTTCTGAGGTAAGTGAAAACTTATTCCAGAAAATTATTGTGTATCAGTTTCATACTTGCTTGTTCTATTTGTAAAAAGACCCCCCCCTCCCATGTATGAAATTGTTATGTCCAGATTTATAGTGTCTCTCTTTACTTGTAACCGTTGCAAATTCCATAAAAAATAACGGGTCATAGTTGAAAAATTTACTCCGAGTCTGCCCCCTCTCACTTACAAATACACATTTTAGGAATAGCTGGGTATCCTTTTCAAAGTTGCCGTTCTATTTGTATTTTTCTAGTGTCTACTTGCAATATTTTGTGAAATGTTACAAAATGTACTGGTATGTATGGGGCTAAGGCCCCCTATTGGTGGAAAGTGTACTCCGAGTCTGCCCAATTTTTCACGTTCAAATTGATCTAGGTCTAGGCTAAGAAACTGGGCTAGCCTCCATGTTTCAAAACAAATTTTCTGTGATCCCTTGTAAATTAAAGTAATGTTATTGTTGACAGGACAAATGCGCATGTTTTTCCTACTTTCTCCCTGTACAATTTTCCCCTTTATTTACAAAATGTTTGTCCATATTTCGAGTTTGTTCCTGTACTTTTTCCTTCAAAAAAGAATGAAAAGGTTATGATTGGAAAACGTACTCCGAGTCTGTCCTAGGCTATTATGCAATTTAAAATTATTAGGTTCCGAGATTTAAAAAAAATGTTATGTGGTAGTTTTTGTTTCAGTCGACATGACTCAACGTATTAACCCGAGTTTGCTCCTAAATTCCATTCTAAAATTAATAGCCTCCGAGCTTTAAAAACCTCTGATGCAGGCTAGATTTAGTTGGCTCTGAGCATCAAATAATTTCCTCCGCATCCAAAATTTAATGTGCTTGTCTAATTGAATAGAGGTATTTCACCCGAAGTTTGTCCCTCTTTTACATTCCAATATTAATTGACTCCCAGGTAAGAACCTATTTTCTATAGCCAAGTCAATGTTTGTGGTCGGCTTGACGCAAGGTATTGATTTTTCTCCCTGTGGTATTGTATGGAGTAGATGTAAGAGATTAACACCTGTGAATTCCTTATAAGTCGTCTGTGGCCCGAGCCATATATAAAAAAAAGTTGTATGACCTCTAACCCCCAAGTCGGCACGTGCCGCTGATTGATGCGCGTACAGGTCCATTGTTCTTCTGGGTGAAGTTATGTGGCAGCTGGCACGCGCTATATCTCTGAAATATTCCTCTGCATTGTGCCCGGCCTGGGTACACGTAATTGACAGATTCTCCACGCGCTTGTCAAAGTTGACAAGTCGCCTTCAAGTCTAATGTTTTTATATGAAACTGGAGATTGAGAACAAAATTCAAGACAAAAGCTTGCATCTCTTGAACCAAGTCAAGTGTAACATGTAGCCAAGCACTCATTCACTGTATTTCACCCTCGTCACAAGAAAAATCGGGACAACGATATTTTTAAAATGACTCCAGTTTCTCCTTGAAGACAATAATGTCTCTTCCCCATCAAGCATGAAGTATATAAGCCTAGTTGCAAGAAATGTAATCTTTACATTTGCTGGAAAGTCCTCCTCAAGTTTTTCATTTTCAACAGACTAATTCGTCGCAACAATATCCTTTCCGTGGACAAACGAAAGTGACGGTGGTCTATATAAAGGGGTTTAAATTTACTCTCTTTCAGAAAACAAAACTTCTCCTTGTCAAAGATAATTGATGGCGCTCAAGAAAAAATATCGAAACCGGCCAGGGCATTTAATACCTCCACAAGTTCAAAACCACTTGATGCCATTTTTTCTGACCCCTTTTATGGGCGGGGCCATGACATTAAAAAGTGCTTCGCGCGAAAAATATTCCGATAATTTTACTATTCTGTTTAGCTTTTGGACAGCTCACCCAAGTGCTACATCACGAGAACAGTAACAACCTCCTCACACCGCAACACCCCCCTTAACAAAAACTCCCCCCCCCCCCTTAACAAAAAACACACACATTACCACAAATCTACAAAATGCAGAATTCGGTGAACAGACATGTTTTCCCAAATGCATTTATTTCTTAACTTTATAACCATCTACATTATTATACGTACACTTCAATCCTAGGATGCCTTGTTGCATTTTTTTAATCTTTAATTCAGCCAATATTTTCATGTTTTTTTCTCCAGTGAGAGATAAGCTACTCCGCAATGCAAGATGATTTGAAACACATTTTAAAGTTAAAATCGTCAAAACCTAACATGGGCTATTGAAACTCATGAGCACCCATTTAATACCTTGTACCTTTCTTTTTGTGTGTTCTACTGTTGCGATTAATTTCGTGCAAACATTCGAAACACAGCCAAAATATTCTGAAACAGCCAACTCAACAGAAGTAAATAATAGTACCAAGCATCCTGTGCCTGCAATCATTGCCCCTAGTATGCTGTCATTTTTCAAATTTTAATTTGATGCCAGTGATGGGCAATGGTATAGGCATGACATAATTGGCTGATAATTCCGGCAAATTTGTGGCAGCTTAGCAAATTTCAGAATTTCGGGCCTTGTGCAGCTGCTGTATCGTGAAACCCCTCTACACTTATTTTCCATTACCATTCCTAGGCCTACCCTTCAAAAGGTGACAATGGCCACATTGTTTGTATACATTATGTTAATATCTACATAGCACACTTTTTGTTTTAATAGAACACAAAACTGTTAAGAATTTGCATATATCAGACTTTGAATATACTGTTTGACATTAATCTAGGTCGTTATAAATCTGTGAAAGCCACACCAATATGTAGTAAGAACATGACTAATGATCGAAGAGAAATGACAAATCCTTTAGATATTACATGTATATAAAATGGAAGAATACACATACACAATGAATGTGTTACATATTCTAGAAATTAGAACATCTCTTGAAGAAACCAAGTGAATATTGTATGCATCCTCTCACGGACTACATATAGTTTGTTTGCACTGCAGCCATCTTTGAAGTGTGCATCTTTTGTTCAACAGGGATTACACATGAGGAGACCCAGTGTTCATTCATTGTTAATGAATTGACGTAACAAATCACACCTCCAATATGGCATCTGAATGCAATCCATCTATACAGCGAGTGTAAAATATTTTGGTAATGGGCAAAACCGAGTATCAAAAAAAATGTTTCTTCTCGAAATGTGTTTTCCATAAGGAAACTATATGGAGAAATACAAGTAAGCTCCTTAAAAATACGATATCTTTAACAGCTGCGTTTTTACTCTTTCGTGTTCCTGTATTCTTTTAACTAATCTTGAGCATTGATCTTGGTCACCACTATTAGATAAAACGTAGTAAAGATCAATTTCCTAATCCGTCATTGCATGCTGATTTAAAAAAAAACACTGATATGCCACAATGGCGAGATGGGTGTTCCAACTAAAAAGTAACCAGGATTTGTAGGTATACAGATGTGATAAAGAAATAAAACCTTCACAATGGTTGCTGATCTATAGTTAGATTTGATACTGAACTTTGTGAGATTCTCTTCATCAGGCATGCAACTGTGAAGTCACAAAAAAAGAGGAAATTCAAATTTTTTGAAGACTTTGTACAGTGTTTTTCTATTTTCAATGGCACACTTGGGAAGTACAAAAAGAGGAAATCAGCTGATCCGAGGAAAAGTTACATGCCTGCTTCATGAAATACACAAATTTATTCTATCAAATTTCATTGCACTTTTCTTAAATCAGGAAAATGAAATATACATGATGCAAAACCACTACATATAGACATGATAGAAGGGAAATCAGTAAAATTGTAACTGTGGCAAAAGCAGTGTACATAGCCTAGAGTATACTTTTATCAAGCAGCATTATTTGTTTGACAAGACATGAACCAAAGAAGGAAAAAAAATCACTGTTTCATATCGTTCAACTCTTGTAGTTTAGTGAGTCAGTCTGACAGTAGCACACAATTGTGCTTGGGGTTTATGATGTCATAATGACATCGTAATGACTTTATCTGGTAAAAACAACAAAGGTTTATTGTATTTCATACAGTAACATTCGTCATTGCGTTGTTCATTTGTACTGTAATATTCTCCAGAAAATCTAAGAACTTCAAACTTACTTTTGAGAATAGCCTGAAGCTGAATTTTGCAAAATTTGGTACAAATTCTAAAGTACTATTTCAAAGTAACAACATCTAAAAACTGGGTGTACTTATGGAGAATTTTGAAATTTATCATTTTTTCATCCGTGTAACTTGAAGAAAAAAAAAGCCATTCAGCAGAAATTAAGTTTACATTTTTTTTGGATTCTGGGAATCCTGATAATATGACTGTATCAGACCAAAAATTAAGCTTAAACCATTTAATATATGTTTTTCAATAAATTATTTAGATAATTTAGTCTTTAAAAAAGGTTGGCACAAAGAATTATTAAATTAAATATTTAGGTACATGTATTTAAATCAATACGTGATTTAGTTGGAAGCATGATCCATGAATTACCACTGACATTAACATGTTGGGTAAAAACAAAAACTCCCAAATCAATTTTTTTTAAAAGATGTACTCCCCGTGTTAAGGAAATTACTCAATGGTAAACTACAATGTGGGATGATTTGTTTTTATTCAGTCCATGTCTCATTCAAAAGTGAATAGGCCTACATGTTTCTTGTTTATTGCTAGAAGAAAAACCTTTTTTTTTTCAGGATGAAACTTTAAAATACCAAGGACAGTACACCTTTAAGTATTTGTTACGAATATCTTTCAAATTAAACAGTAGTTAAGTAATTGCACCTGCTCCAAGAAAAGTATGTTCGTGTTTCCCAACTCCGATTTAAAGGATTTTCAAAACTTATTTTCGGTGGGAGGTAATTCACAATGACATGAAAAAGTTTAAAACAACTTTCTAAATGTATCTTCAAATCACACACTCACACACTAAGACTGATAAAAAAATGGTAAAATCAGGAAGTAGTATTGGTAGGAGGTTATCTATCTTGGCGTTTACTCGCTGACTGATGTCATTGGTTGATGTACTTTTCCGCCTCCTCCAACATGCCTTTGGTGTCCCTGTACTTAGCAATCGCTCTGGCTTTCGCCACGCCCAGCCACTTGTAAGCTTGGTGCTCATTGGATAAAACCACTGGGGTGCCACAGTCCTTCATCTGGGCCAGCCAAAAGACAACCTCCTTGGGTTTGGCTTTCTTGGTCTGGTACCGGATTGTCCAGCAGATATCCTTATGAATATTCAGGTGCTCTGGCAGAAGCCCCGCCTCCTCTGCTGTTTCTCGGAGGGCAGTCTCGTAGACGGTTTCGCCGGGATCAACGTGACCTTTAAATTGGGGGTTGAAAATTGAAGGAAAGGAAAAAAAATGGTCAAGAGGATTAGGAATCGGTGTTGTTTTCTGTTGGAAGTTTTGGGCTTAAAGGGATATTACGGCCTGGAATGCAGCCGATTGGGCTACATAATGCACTTTAAACGAAATTAGTGTAACTTGAAGGAGCTTAAGTTAAGTAGCATCTTAACAGTCCATCCACACCACAATCCTCTAAAAACGGGGCTGAAATGCATGACTGAATTTTTTTTGGGGCTGCAGTGTAGTGCCAGTGGACTCTGTAAACGCAACTGTCACGTAGACATGGTACATGTGCTTTACGTAGCGTCGTCAACATGCATGACATGGACGGATAGATCATGCACTGGTTGAAAGTAGTTGCAACGTAGGCCTACATTGTATTTTTCATCGCATGAACATGCTGAACCGAATTCGGCCTAGGCCATGTATGTAGGCCTACCTGATTTACGCGTTACATGCAAAAACGTACGACCGAAGTGGTCGAAGTTTGAGTGGGTTAAACAAATAGCATGTGGATGCGTAGCTTGAGTGACTCCAGCTGACATGCTCATATTCATTCACATGTAGCGCTGGAGGAAGGCCTGTGCGTTTCCATGTGGTAGCAAGAGACCCTAAAAAAATGGCCTCTCCCAAAAATTGTTCATTTTCACCTCTAATATCCCACCCCAGAGTTCACACACATACCTCATACATTCAGCAGTTATTTACGAAGCCTAATGATCGATTTGAAACAAGACCAACAAAAAAAAGTGAAAAATCTTGACGATTTTGGTGGCTTGTCCGTAAAATACGCCTGTTCCAACGTCTGTCTTCCATTTTGTTTTGCTAATTATATTAATGTATGCATCACGTGATGACATAAAAAAAATCGGCGCGCACGATGTATTTGGGTACCACACCGCTTTCAGGCGCCGCAAGTGAGTTCAATTTTCGTCTGGTGCGTTGCCGTGGAGAGCATTCTCGTCTTGCTTTCCGCGACAACGCACCAGACGAAAATTGAACTCACTTGCGGCGCCTGAAAGCGGTGTGGTACCCACATACATCGCGCGCGCCGATTTTTTGATGTCATCATCACGTGATGCATACATTAATATAATTAGCAAAACAAAATGGAATACAGCCGTTGGAACAGGCGTATTTTTACGGACAAGCCACCGAAATCGTCAAGATTTTTCACTTTTTTTTTGTTGGTCTTGTTTCAAATCGATCATTAGGCTTCGTAAATGACTGCTGAAATTATGAGGTATGTGGGTGAACTCTGGGGTGGGATATTAGAGGTGAAAATGAACAATTTTTGGAGAGGCCATTTTTTTAGGGTCTCTTGCTACCACATGGAAACGCACAGGCCTTCCTCCAGCGCTACATGTGAATGAATATGAGCATGTCAGCTGGAGTCACTCAAGCTAGTGGATGCGAATGTAGCTTGAAATTATAACTGACCTTTCGGCGGTGCCCAGCTCGTGTGATTACTCGATTTCTGAAGCATCAGATACTGTACTTCCTGCTTAAACTTGCGGAAAACAAGCAATCCTCCAGCTTTAATAATGTCCACGGACGCCATCATGAAGTACGCCCTCTAATGTTGGCACTATCGCAAAAAGTACCTGATCGTTCGCGAGCGAGCGAGGGCGCTGCAATGGTGTAGTGGTGTTGTTTCACACGTGTGGCTTACGGTACGCCGGTCCTCGCTTTCCCGCCTTTAAAACTCAAAAGTCTTCTGAATTCGTGTATTTTTTTTTCACCTCTGTAAAATTGCACCCAATTAAGAAAGTATTTCAGGAAAAGGGTCGAAAGGCCCCCCTCGATGCTCGATCCCAAATTCGACACTGATGGATCAAATACTTGAAATTGTAGGTGTAGGCCTATTCATGTAATTGTAACTTTGAAAATGAAATATTCAAGTATTTTCACTGTTTCATATTTTTTAACTCCTTGTCCGCAAACCTATCCATAGCAGTGCCGCATTTGTACGAAACTTGTTTTGTTTTGAACTTTTAGTAACATGTGCGAGCGATGCACAATAAGCTCTGGCCGTTGCAAAAAGTCGAGTCTTGCATGAAATCGACCAAAATGATCCCTGCCGGAGCTGAAAAATGCGCGACGCCGATGGTACACATGGAACACCATACTTTTGGTAAATTTTCCGGAGAAAGACAGACCCGACCGACCGGTCACCAATCATGTAGAAGCTCCTGCCCGAGCTTAAAAACAAATCCCCCCCCCCCCCCCCCCCCCCCACCTATGCACAAGCGGCGTAGCGTTGCCGGCCGAGGCATCAAAAGGGTACCGAAGCACACTTTTTAAAGTAGATTATCGGAGACTGACACCGAAGGTACTATATTCTTGACCCAATATTGGATTTGGATTGAATTCCCCGACATTCGCAGTACAAAGCCGCCAGAGTGGTAGAGGTCCCATACCAACAAGACGAATCAAATGCAGTCTTGGGAATTTGGAACTTCAGCAGTGCTCCCCGAACATTTCCAAGTATACCTACCTCACGCGCGCCGTATTCACGCACACGCGCACGCGCGTGTAGGTGTGCTCGGAATTTCTGGGGTAGCGTTGCCAAAGTTTCGAGAACTGGATTCGATTCTTCTTGTTGATAGTGCCCTGTACCGTTATCTTATCTTGAACCAAAATCTGTACCGTTAAATAACGCCCCCGCACGATTTTCACTCGATGGCGAGCGCTTCCTGATGCTAGGATATACATGTAGCCCCACCTAATAAAAAGCAAATTATGTAAACTTGTACCACAAACTACTATACAAAGACACAGACAGGATTAATTTCGGAACTATCGCAAACGTTACTGTATTTAATGTATAACAGCTTTCTAGCAAAGGAATCGCCCCATTATTCTTTTAAAAGTTAATTCAAGAATGCGATACGCGATTTCAAGACGCAAACAGTTCATGAATTATGAACACTTATAAAGAATATGTACAAGTTAGCCCTTTTACAAGTTGCACTCGTAAAAAAAAAAACGAACAGAAACTAAAGTCACGAAATTATAGCTGCAAAATATATATTCTTATTGAATACACCACAGGAAAACCCTTTTTTTTAAACAGTGCAATTACAAATACAAACAATAGAGAAAGTAAATTAGTCGAAGTAAAAAGGGAGTACATCCATGCACTGTTGTACATATATTTGGTTGCACATTATTTTGTAAGACACTCGTAATATATAGGTTGCTGTCCAGTAAATACACTGCCATAGACCCCCTGTGATGATAAATCACCCACTTCCAAGAAGTGGAGGAAAATACAACTCTCCAAGGTGTTTGAAACACACATCACATTAAAGCTTATTTCATCATCTTTTATTTTATTTTAAATTTTTGTTGGGTAATCCAATGACTTTTGGGATAAATTTCCATCCAAAGATGATCACCTCTAAAAGTAGTAGTTCTGAAGCCCATGACCATTTTGGGAAATGATGCCTTAAAGCTCATTACAAAATAGACCAAATTTAGGGCACAATTTCATCCCAATTTCACTTAAATACAAGCTCACAGTCCTGGTCACGGCTTCCATCCTTTTTCTACAAACCCTCAAGTTCATGACCCACAAACTACTCTAACTGCAGAGAATTTGAGCGCATGCAAATTGTCATTTGACCGGCGTAGGCAGTTTTGGGCCTATTTACTGGCCTGCACCCCTAATTAACAAAGTATTTCACTGGTGTCATAGAATTTACAGACGCCATGTTTTGTGCGGTGATCACTGTACCATTGAAAGCAAGATCAAGATTTAACAAAATTATGTCATCTTCAGAAATTGAAAATTCAACATCACCTTTTTTTTTGCAAGGAAACTTTTTATCAAATAAACAACTCTTTAAGACATCCAATCTACTGAAATCATTAATGGTCTCAATGTACAGCAGTTCAAAAGCAGTTTTCGAAGTGAAACAGGTAAGTTGAAAGTTTTCACACACTCTTTTATTTCAAAACTCGGTATTTATTTATACAATGGAATGTACAGTAAGATGGTCCTTGTGGACTTAATAGGGGCGAGTCTGGCCAAGTAGGCCATGTCCTTGGGCAAGCCACTTCATCCGACTTGCCCCTCTCTACCAAGGAGTATAAATGGATACCAGCATTAGCTGGGGAGTAACCATGTCATGGACTGACATCCACTCCAGGGGAACGGAAACGAAACTGGAGAATTATGCCAGCATGATGGGCCATATTGGCTTGTGACGTTTTTATTTTTGACATAGAAAACCACTCCTTCCGTCAGTCATAACACATAATGATTGTCTGGTCAAGTCCATCAAAAGTTAGATCATATGTCCATCACCACTGAAATCTTTCATCAGGAACAAGTAAAAGAGAATGAACAGTGATGAAGGAATGCCTTTGTTATAATTCAACTGAAAAACTTTGTCACTTGACTTAACACTGGATAACTTGGTAATGACTTGTGAGTTCAGTACAATGTGCCAAGGTAGTTGCAGCGTATGGTGTAGCAGTTCGTTCCTCCCCTATACCTGCAATGGGGACCCTGACCTCGGTGATACATTCGGGGTTGAGCAACGGAACGTGCTGAGCTGATCTTGAAAGGTGTCAATACATCGCAGCTTGCTTGACATCAAGTCTCTGGCATAGCTTAGGTACTCGGATAAACCCTGAAGAACAAAAGTTAGCATTACATGTGTTAACATGCCAGTGCTCCATTTGTGTTCTTGTGGTCTCAACAAAACTCTTTTTACGAGCAAAATATATCTCTTTCATTGATCAATGTTCAAAGGAGTCACAGAAGTGGCATCGAGCAACTCCTGAATGTGCAATGCATGCTCCTTGTACTTGCTGTCAGCTGGTCATTGATACTAGCTGTCCCAGCAGATGAATTAGTGTGCACAGTTAATTGTGTGAATTATGCGCCTTCACTTATTCAACTTCTAACTGAGATTTGAACTATCTCAAAAACTGTGTCCTTTTGTACATTGCTTTATACTAGAGAGTGGAGACTCTAAGTGTCAACATGTACGTGCTACAATAAACAAATATAACAATGTAACCTGCGATGGACTAGCATTCCGTCCAAATATTTGTCGTTTCATGCTACTGAAACCGGAGATAAACACCGGTCTGATGGGCCACATTGGCTTGTGACAGACTTAACTTGTTTTTTTTGGTTGTTGTTGTTTTTTGTTTTTTTTACTATAAGGCAAACTCCTTCACACAACACCAATCTCTGAGCATGGATGATTCTCTACTTGCTCCTACCTTTTCCCCGTTGTGTAGTTGCTTGATCAGCCTCCATTCCCTCTCACACAGTCGCTGTAGTTCATCAATCTGCTCGGCATGAGCCGACACCAACAGCTCCCTGGAGGAGGATCATTTGAAACAAGTCATGCAACATAACTGACAGGGAAGTTTACAATTAAAATATTTCGTGTACAGTGATGTCAACTGCTCTTCATCATAAAGACCAGAATAGCCACTGACAGAGCTAAAGGCACAGTCCATCAACACTGGACACCCAGCTACCAACGCATTACACTTTTTTTTGTCAATTTCTAAATACACTTATACAACTGGAAAACGGTGTTTTTCATGGTAAGACCATGGTTGGCTAAATACCCATCTTGCCTGAAACGCATATATAAAGGCATACACTCATATCAGGCGACCCGACACAGAGGCCACTAATACAGAGACACGATTGATACCTCTGGCTACAGTCTATCTGGCAGTGACATTTTAAAGATATTAATGAGGTGGTACCTCACTAATGTGCATGTCGTCGCAGACGCGACACATGAGTTCACGAGTGCAACGTGCATGCAAGCATGGAACCAACTCATTTATGAATTCTAAGTGGGGGTTCGTGACTCGTGATCAGAGAGTTCAAGAGTTTGAATCCAACTGCTAGTCATATGTTGTGTCCTTGGGCAAGCCACTTCCCCCCAACTTGCCTCTCTCCACCCAGAGTATGAATGCGTACCGACAATAGCTGGGAGTAACGTGTGATGGACTTGCATCCAATCCAGGGGGAAAAGAATGTTCTCAGTCATTTTATACTAAGGAAACCTGAGATGAACACCGGCCTGATGGGCCATATTGGCTCTTGACGGACATTACTTTTTTTTTACCTCACCAATATGCATGTCACAACGTGCATGCAAGCATGGAACCATGAACTCAATTATGATTTCTAATAATGGTAGCAGCATTTAGTGCCACTTGCTTTATGGAAAAGTTATTAATCAAGCTGACATTGCATCAGATCTGTCTCATTTTCTGGAGGTTTCCATTGTAAGGCCCCCCCCCAAAAAAATATTCGGTCTCTGGTCAGACCAAAGTTCTGGAATTGACGCGGGGACGTGGCTTTTTTTTCTTTTTCTTCAAGCTTGGATTGTACAGACAAGGTGGGGTACTATTTTGCTTTTTTAGTGTCATGTACATTGGCGTCCTCCATAATTTGCCTTGGTGCTCTCGATCATTTGCCTTGGTGCAATTTCCCATTCCTTGGTGCTCTTTGATACAAAAAATTGAGGAGGTGCAGCAATAGAGGGCACTGTTGGAGCTACAGCAGAACATTTTTGAAAAAACAATTGACGCGCATGATTAAAATCGACGCGCGCGCTGACCAGAGACCGACTTATTTTTTTTTTGGCCTAACAGTTAACCTTACAATTTAAATTGTTTAAAACCAATTGCACATACGTGGCTTTCTCCATGGCCGAGTTCTGTCTTGGTAACAGCAAATCCTGGCTCACATCGTCAGTGCTGCTGGTCATCATGTTGGGCAGTTGAAGTCTTGGCACCAGACCTTCAATAACTCCCTCTCTGACAGTAAATCCTCTCCCCTGACTACTGCTGTTGCTAGGGAGATTAGAGCTCAGCCAGTCATCATGATTATGCCGGACAAGAACCTTTTCTTTGGCAATTGGCGACTGCTGGAAATCCGCCTCAGATCTGATTAGCTCTTGATGAACACTGCTACTTAGAGATTCCTTGGTGAAGGCCTTAGCTGGTACAGGTTTGCTCGACACAGATGAAGAGGTGTTACCCCCCGCAAAATCTGAAACAGGATGGAAGGCCGACGGTCTGGATTCTGACCGCAGGACCTCCACAGTAACTGGAGACTGGAGCACATTTCTGGGATTAGAGGACAATCCTCTATAGCCTCTAATCTTCAGGTGTTCAGGCGTCTGAATGGCAGATGGCTCTGACTGGGAAGGTTGGTAAGACCCAGTCGATGACACGTAATCATGAAAACTTGTTGACACGATAACGCCACTCTGATTCTCAATATTTTTCGCAGGCTGCTCTAGCCACTGTGAAGAATCCACAGCTTCATTAGCATCGGTTACTTCTTGATTGGGCCCACCGACAGATTGAGATGTGGTTCTTTGGACATCCCTTGGTGAGGGAAGGCTCTCAATACCTTTCACAGTGAGTTTACTCCTGAAAGAACCACTAGGGCTCTGGCTTGCCACAGGGTCTCTTCGATTTACAACGCTTCTAGTTTGAGCATGGTTGGGTGAGGTAGTATCAGCTTTGCTGGCTTTGTACAACTGATTGTTTATGGGCGTGTCAGTTTTTGGGTCTTGTCTCTTAATGCAAACTTCTGGATGGTTAACTGGGGAGGTTTCGTTATTTGTTGTAATAGGCACATTTTGGTGTTTTGGAAACTGCTCCGGTGTGGGTGCAGACCGTGTCCTGCTTCTCTGACTGCTCCTGGCTTTTTCATCATACTTGCCGTGGGACAATCCATGGGATGGGTAACCCCCAGCCAGTTTGTTATCATCCACAGGAGAAACGAGGGAGTTCCTGAGGGCATGATCGATCTCGGCCAAGAGTTCCATGGTGCTGTCCGTATCTGTGCTGCAGCTGGTCTCGCTAAGCCTGGACTGCAGGCTGTGCTTCACGGCACTCGAATCGTTCCTCCTAGACCTGGTCCTGGTCATCTCATCATCTGCTGAAAACCCGGATTCCTGGTCAGCTGCATATGCTTCACTTGCGCTGATATAGCCGACCTGTTGGTCAAACTTCTGGGTAGAAATTGCAGATTTGCTTTCAGCAGATGACACACATCCAAGAGCACCTTCTGTGGTATCTCTCAGAGAGGTCCTGGCTCCTAGATCAGCCTTCTGCATCTTGGGGCTATGAGCATACCTTGGATTTTCTACCTCCCAAGCTTCTCCAACAGTCTTAGTCTGAACCTTCGCCTTCTCGGGTTCCTCGGGAGGATACCAAACAGGCAGGGACTGACCGTGAAGGAATGCCTCTTTGGTGTGCACTTTGGCCTCCTCACTTCTTTTTGACTGCATCTCGCTGTTGTTCTTGAGACTGTCCGGGGAAACACTCGGACCCTTCTTTCCAGTCGAAGATCTCCTGGATGAGTTCTGGCTCTGATTCACTGCATCGTTTATTCTTGGCATCGGTTTGCGAGCCGGTGTCTCAGTGTTCTTCCTGTCTCCGTGGCCGATATTCCTTCTGGAGTTGAACACCCCATTCTGGTTCTCATCAAGTTTTCTCATACTCCTAGGGTCCTTCTGTTGGCAGCCAGATTTGTCAGCTGACTTCTCAAAGCTTACAGTCTTGACAGGGGTAACCTTCCTGACGGAAGGACTTTGATGGGCCACTTTGGGGGATGGCAACTGCTTTTTCAGCATCTTGACTGGTGTTGATGTGGTGCCTGGACTAAATGTGTTCGGGGTTGATGGATAGGGAGACACCGGCTGCTGAGATGAAGTCTCCTTTTTCAGTTCTTTCACTCTAAGAAAACAAAATTTACAAAAATTGATTAGTACAAAAAAGTTAATTTCATATTTCCTATCAATTTATGCAAGCCCAGTAAAGCTGGTCCCTACATTTGGTCTATGAGGTGTACGGCTAGCTATTCGTAGTCATCTAAGGCATTGTTTGTCTTTGGCCAAGGTGAGAATTAAGCAATTCTAATTCACAAGTGACAGTTAGTAAGTGTGTACCAAGAGAAATGAATGCTGGCCCTCTGGGACCTGCAAAACATCCTAAAAATTAGTATTATTTTTCTTTTTTTAAAGAACATGTTTTCCTAGACAAAGCTTTTGTAAGTAGCACCGACTTCCCAATTTTTATGTAACTAGTCAAGTCAACCAAAACTCTCTCTTATATAATACCCAAAAGCATTACAGTAATAAAACGACAACTGACACTTAGACCCCGTTCCCACTTGATCCACCAATTGGTGGATCTGATCCACCTTTTGCCAAATTGCCGGATCAGATCCCCCAATTGGTGGATCAGATCCGGCAATTGTGTGTAGTGGGAACGCTAACCGTTATAAGGTGGATCAGGATCAGATCCACCTTTTCTGATCCACCTCTGGACCAGGATACAGATCCCCCAATTGGTGGATCAGATCCGGCAATTGCCGGATCACGATCAGATGGGAACGCAAAAGGTGGATCTGATCCGGCAATTTGACCTGTTAACATCCGCCCGGTGCTTAGTGGCGCGAAAATGTTGCGGTCTCATGAACGAAGAAACACGTTTTCAGGCGTGTAGCTCATGTGAACATTTCCAGCGTATACAATATGCACAATAAACAACCGCTGAACTACGGGCTAGCACCGCGCATGCAAAAGCGCACGTGGTATCCTAAAACTACACTAAAGGCCTTATTTTTGTTGCATGTTCGTCCATTACTAAACCTTTTTCATTCCTGAAATTTTACTTATTTTTCCATCCATAAATGACTCTGAGTCCGCACTCACCAAAAGACTTCACTTTGGCACAGAATCATGGAAAAGCTTACGAGTATGCGATGAGAATAGTGCCGATAACGCGGTACGTACGGAGGTGACAAATCTGAAGTATTGATTATAGAAAATTGGAAAATGATGTCGTAGTACATCATGTGACCGTTTCCAATGAGAAGCTTCAGAACCAGGGAATCCCTTATCGATGCATTGGTTTCTGCCGTGATGTCACACAATGAGCGGCTCTGTTGGATTTCACCTGTTAATTTATGCACGCACGGATCCTCTACGGATCCGTGATTTATGTTGGTGAATTCGCGTAATTTTTGTCTGTGAATTCTGATAGTGCTGTTTGAAAACTGACCCATCCTGGCCTAGCATGCAACCATGCAACAGTGGCACTCCCACAGAGCGCGCGTAATTCCGAACTCAGTGACCTTTCGGACCCAACATTTCCGTACGAAAAGGTGGATCAAGCATAAGTGGGAACGCGACTTGCGGTTTCGTTGCGGTAAGATAATGATCACACCAAAATGCCGGATCTTGATCCACCTTTTTCCAATTCAAGTGGGAACGCGGTGTTACATGTACATGCAGCTAGCTAATAAAACACTTGAAACCTCGTTACCAAAGTACTCTCAGGAAATACCGTCTTACCTATCAGCATATCTCAACGTGTTCAGTGTGTGTTCAACGGCACTGCTGTTGGGGGCAATGTTAGCAATCATACAAGTCTTGGAGTGACCCAGGAACGAATCCCGCAACACTTGTGTCAACTTGCTCTGACGAAACGGTGTGTGGCGCTGCTCTTGGTCCAAGGCCCTGATGCATTCTTTCAGCTGATGAACAACAGTAAAATTAAAGAAAAACTATCAACACATAACAAAATCAGTACATTTTCATCAAAAGCCAGTGGAAACATTCAGGGGATATGTTTCGCAAATTGTATACAGGTATTACAGAAAAATTGCACCAACATTAAGCACACATTTCTTTACCTTGGTGAGTTTGCATTTAATGTACGTGTTCTACATAACCCCTGAGGACCGACACACAAAGGAGAACAACAAATCCCTTCAGTCCTCGGGTGTTAGGACTTTTGTTTGAAACGGTCCTCTGTAGTAGGTTTGTGTGCTTAGTCTATGGGAGAGTGTTATATTACAGGGACAAAGGGAAACACAAAGCATTGTCCTCGAGAGTGTAGTAAAACAAGAGTGGTTGTACCGGTACATGTACATGTATGTGCAAGGAGATATCTACATGTAGAGTTCGGTCACTATTTTCTGGAAACTCTGCCTACACTTAAGTTACATGTACCATGCTTTTGGCTGCATGCTTACTAATGCTTACTGTCACTGTGAAATGGCGATGAAAAGAAACCGCCGCACATATTTTGCATACAAAACATTGTATCCTGGCTATAGGCCTAAATGAAATACATTTTGGTTATCGGGCACAGAGCAAGAATCAGTCCATCACATCAGTAGGTACCGTAATTTAGTTCAGAGCTCAAACATCTAATAAGACAATGATGTGAATAACTGTAAAAACATGATCAGGCACAACCTGATCACCAACTTAAGCCTGCGCCGCACGTCACCTTTCCAATTTTACCAGTTCACCGAATAATTGCCCCATTGTACAGAGGTGTGGGCTGAAAAATTGGACCAATCTGACAGGCATGCAAATTTTTCCGGATCCGCTGATTTCCTCGTTTTTTTTTTACTTCTCATGAAAGCCATTGCAAACTGAAAGTCTTGTGTGGTTCGGAGTTTCCTCATTTTTTTCTAAATTCCCAGTTGCATGCCTTATCTGATCGTACACTGGGAGACCACTGACCGGGCAGCCAGATGAAATCAAACATGTTTGATTTTTTCACATCAATTTTGAATCATTGACGGCTTCCATTTTGTCATCACGTGACTGATCAATATGTCACCGACAGAATCGGGCATACGTGCAGTTAACTTTGCGGTCTCTGCAATGGTGAAAAAAGTTGTACCGGTTATCCCGTAAACTGGTAAATTCGGAAAGGTGTGCGGCGGGCTTTATATGGAATTCTACAACATTGTTAGCAAGGCGCCAATAATCCCACAACATGAACTTACCGATAACACCTCTGTTGGTGGTATGATAAACATGCAACAATATCAGATTGAAAAATATGAGACTGAAAAATATAAGCTTCAATATCCTCTTGTTATATACATGTATCATGTTTTCATTTTGTGAATTCATGGTGACAAATTCATATGATGAGGAATTCCACAACAACCCACGTCACGGAAAGGAAACTCTCCAGTTTGCCGGTGTGAATCCTACAGGAAACTATCGATTGCGTATTCAATGGGACCCTATTTAGTGACTTCCTGAGGTGTTTCTCTATTTAACAGCAGGCTTTCCCAACTACAGTCATCCAATTCGATTTGAACTCATTCATGACAGGATGTGGCTTTGGTGTTTGGTCATGTTGATACATCTTGGTACATGTGAACACTCCCAACCGAGAATGACTTTATGCATGTTATGGGCAATTCCATGGTAACGTACGTTACACTTAAAGGAGGGTCTTCTGTTGACTCTGTGCTGTTATTCTATAAAGTCAAAGCATTGAGGGTGGACTTTCTTTTTCACAGAAGATCCTTTGAAATCAAGTGACTAAACTACAAACATAGGCCAACAAAATAAACTTCTAAAATCTCTAGCAATGTCTGGAGAGTTATATTTTGGTAACTCACGTTATGGTAAGACCAAAAAAAATACATGTAGTTCTGCTTCCGGTTTCCCTACCTACATGTACCCTATTCTGACAGCCCCTACCCTAATTGTTTTATTGGAAAAATGAGGAAAAAACACCCTAAAGCATCAATTTCCACCTTTTACCCTTGACTGCACGCAGACGCTTCCATGTGATAGTACACACACAAAAAATGCAAAAAAAAAATCCCTACCTACCTACCCTATTTGCGAATGCCATGTAATCCAAAGCAGAACTATTTTTTTTTTTGTGGCCAAATTCACATTACAGTTTTCCCGCCATCTCTGTTACAAGTTAAGAAACTAATAATCCTAAAAATACCCCGGTACGTCTTTTGTCATAAAATATGAACCTTTCCCTCTGCCTTCAAACAACAGGGGTGTGAGTGACCACTGATAAAAATAGCTGAAAAAGGTTTAAAAACAATGAACTTTGGAAATCTCCTATACTTTTCTACACAGCAAGTGAGGGAAAAAGCTGAAAAAAGCTGAAATCCAACACACAAAAAAGCTGAAATCAGCTTTAAAGCTGAGATTTCACACCCCTGAAACAAACACACACAATAACACCGTCATTTTGCAAATAAAAAAAAGGTGCCAAAATATTGAACTACCTAAAATCCATACTTTTAGTAAAAACACCTTTACAAATTTGCAAGTGCATGCAAATCCTGATCAGCGGCAAGTTTAGGCTGGTGCATGTTCAACTCAATCGGTGCAATTTTGAAATTGAATATTCTCTCAAGCCCAGCTTGGAACAATCAAATACTAAATTAAGTGAAAATGCACGATTCTTAAGTGGAACACTTCTGTATGAAAAATGGGAAGAGTACCAGTTAGCAGCAATGTTGATCACATGACCTTTTCGCTGGTAATCTGTTTTTGCTAAGCATAAATACATGCATGTACATGTATCTTCCATGGAGTCATATTGGTAGAGTATAAAGGATGATTGGACACTCCAAGGGGAGGAGTAAACTAAATCTTCAATTTAAAAAGCAGTCATCTTTACTCCCTATCTGGTTAAATTAGTATTTTATTTTCAAATATAATTTTTTGGGGACAGGGCAGAGTAACCAATTTTTAGAACATTTGATGCTCACCAAATGTTTTCGCTTACGGTAGCAGTGCCATGGGTCCTTGCTCTATATACCGGTAGTCCAACTCATAACATCCCGCATGTCCCGTAAAATGTATTGATCGACTGTCATACTGTAGTACATGTACATGTACAATGTACATACATCTTAGTTGTTCAATTTAAGCACAATACCTCTTAATGTGTAGCCTGGCCAATCCAGAGCTTGTCAGCAAGCCATATCCAATCAATTACCTCCTAACACAAGTTATCAAAATCTTCACAAAGTGTGTAACAAAATTAACCACTCCAAAATGGTGACGCCTCAGGAACAAAGTATGCTGATGGAATATGTAGAACCTTCAATATTACTCCAAATCCTATACAAATTCCCAAAAAATAATACATGACCATGCAATGCATATCTTCAAAGCATAACAAAAAAACACCTTTGCTATTTTGATAAATACTTTTAACCAGAAATCCTCCATGCAAAACAAGATCATTTGAATAACAATACCCCTTCAAGAACACGTTCTGGTACTTGCAAGGTGAAGCTCTGTTTGTTTGCCTATTGTTACAAACTTTACAATTTACTGGGTAGTCATGGTAGTGCACATGTGTAATGTGTGTATTCAGGATGTGCATGACTGCTTTTTGAATAAAAAATGACAAATGACAAGCACCAAAATTCCCCAGAAAATACCTTCACTTGACACATATGCTTGATGTTTTATACATTCCTAATTGTGACTACAAATAAAACACACAAGGCATATATGTTTGGTATAGATTGGGGAAAATGAAAAAAAAATCCCTACAGTTATTGGCAGAGGGTTTACAGGTCACTGAGGGCCCCAGAGCAATGTACATGTAGGGTCTATAGTGTACATTTTGTACGGTATGTTTGCATTTACCATTGTTTACCTAAAGGTACCCTTTAAATGATCATGATCAGAGGTTCGAATCCAGCTGCTGGCCACATGTGTCCTTGGGCAAGCCACATCACCCTACTTGCCTCTCTCTACCCAGGAGTACAAATGGGTACCAGCATTAACTGGGGAGTAAACTGCGATGGACTGACATTCCATGGGTGGGAAAGAAATATTCTCAGTTGTTCCATGCCAAAGAAATCAGAGATAAAACACCAGTCTTATGGGCCATAATTGGCTTGTGACAGATTTTACCCTTTTACACAATTTTTGGTTCTATAATCTTTTAAAAGTAAAACCACCTTCTTGTAACATTATAAAACCTCAGAACTCCAGAGTTCAACAGGATTTTTATTTTAATTACTGAAATCAGGTAAAATATTGACAAATCTTGCCCATGATGTACGTGCATGACCAAATGGTAAAAAGTCCTACACATTCTTTGAATTTACAATGAACAAAAAACATGGAAAATCGGGGACAAAACTACTCACCGCTAGTAGGCTTGTGTTGATCTCTGCACCTTCATAGCGTGTGACTTTGTCAGGATCCGCGGTGTCGCATGCCCTCTCACTGCCAGCAAGATCAATGAAGGAGAACCTACAAGGGGCAAAGATTGACAGACGGAATAATTCATCATTCCTTTCTGGGGTAAACAAAAATTGATTGATTTTTTTTTAAAAATGGAATTTGCCAACCCCAAGGCCAAAGGCCACTCAAGGTAGCAGCTGAAATATGCAATTTCTATTGTTTGTTTAACTGTTGCTGTGAGTGTTTTTTCCCCTACAAACTTTGCATTTGGAGTTTGACAAACTGTACATGCATGACATGTATGAAAGTGGACTCTAAAACAGTGTACCATGCGTGAACATTGTTAACCATTTTGCAAGCTTAGACAAAAAGTGAAAAATATAACCTAAACGCCACATAAAAATATACAAGACAGCGGGATCAGATTATTAACAGGTAGCGTTAGTCCAAAATTGGCATGTGGTTGAACCAATTCTATCTGTTTTCGAGAAATTTAAAGAGGATCAGCTTAAAGCTTTTAATTGATGATCAAAATTTAATACTTACAATTACTTACCATGGGCGTCGCCAGGATTTTTTCTAGAGGGGGGCAAACATATTTTCCCCAAAAAATTCCTGCATTTCTCAACATATTCTTGATTTCTCAGTTTTAGAGGGGGGCAGGGACATTCCCCCCCCCCCCCCTCATTAAATTTACACCACTTTTCTTCTTTTTTTTTTGTTGCTTTTCCAGGGGGGCCCTTGCGACGCCCATGTTACTTACTCATTATTAATAATTACTTATTAAGTTAATACTCCCCCACCCAATAAAATAGTACTTTTTCTGTCATGCCCCCCCCCCCAGCCCCACCCCTAATAATCAGTTTTCTAAGAATTTATTCTAAATGAATGTTATGTCTGCAAATAGGTTTATATTGTAATGCCCCATCTGGTTGAAATTATGGGAGGCCACTGAACATTAAAAACAAGTTTTTTGGGTTTTTTTTTTGGTGCTGTGAGTGCACTCTAGTGATTATGACAGCTATAAAAATTGATTTTGCCTAGTCGTTTGTATCTGAGCAGTTTTGTGTCTCAATTTCACCCCCTGCTACTGCATGGCTTACCTTCCTAGTTTGCGCCTGCCTCCATCCTGTAGTTGCAGCTGTAGTATGGCATGTGATCGAGAGGAATCAGCATTCACCCCTGACACACCCTTACTCCTTTGTTTATTACCCTGCTCAACAACCTGCACCAATCGAAAGACAGAAACAAACAAAAAAGGACTTACAAAAAAGCTGGTTATATTTCACATTATAACAACGCATCCACAGATTCACTTTCTTGATTGGGTAAAGAGCGGTTACATGGGATTTGCCATTCATGACATTTTAATTATTTTAACATGCAATGGTGACTATACCACGCCTCGCTCTGAAAAGCACTATACCCGGTACATGTACGCATGACAACTAATGTAGCAGACACAAAAACAGAGAAAGTTAACAATTTGCACTGACAAATCTGCATGGAAACCTGTGCAAATGTTGATGCAATACATTGAGAAAAGAAACAAAATAGACAGCTGTACCGTACTTCAGCTTGATACCCAAATCCTACTGGGCTCAGTGTACACGTACACGCATCCTCCCAGAGTGAGCTGCTTACACATATACCAGCATACTGCAGTTCTGTTTATTGAACTGTGGTCCCTGGTTCAATATGTATCCCCTTGAGTTGGAAAGTGTGGGATACATGTAACTTAAGTGTCACATGTCATTCATCTCACGCCAGATCCTGCACTGGGGAGGTGGTGGGGATGTCAGAGTTGATGGCTGGAGTGTCGTTGAGGGACCCCTCCACTCCAGGATTGAGATATGAGTTATTGTGATTGGAGTAGGAACTTTGATCCTCTCACACCAGGACAGTTTGGTTTTAAAGGGAATGTACAAAATTTGCTTTTGCTGCAATTTTCAGAAATAAATGGATTTGGAGGATTACTGTGTTATAGAAAATATTGTTAAACTGACTTGTTTCACGTTTTGGGCTTGTAGATGCTGGAAAAACCAAGAACACTTATCATGTTCTTGTAGTCTGGTTCCCTGACCCCACTTAAGATGAAACGGAGCAATTAATACACTTTGGGGAATTGTAAGGTCAGAGAATCAGTCTAGCAGGCTTGTACCCATTCACAGGTGTGTAATCAATTGCAAAGAAAAGTTAGAATAACTAAATATGAAAAATTAGGAACAGTTTTTGAATTGAAAAAAAAGCAAGTTTTCTTCCAACGCCGGTCGGCCGACCAGCGTTGGGAAAATACACTTTTTCTTGAAAAAGTCTGCACACCAGCAGCCACGATTTTAAAGGATGCTTTAGACTGTCGGTCCCTAACAATTTAGTAAGGCATTTCGTGATAATTTGATCATTTCGTTTTTTGATGTTTGCAAATGTTGTATCTTTTCTTTAAAGTCCCAGTGTCACTATTCTCTCAATCATGTCAATGCATGGCTATAAAATACTGCACTCATGTTGACACTAGGGACACACTGTACAAACTAAAACTATTATTACAAGGTTTAACCATCCGATTTCATCAGAAAATTCATCAAAATTGAGCCTTAACCCTCCTGCTCATCAGTCACAGACAATCAAAATTCACTTCCAGTTCCCCTTGTATACTTTAAACAAAGGTTAGTCACCAGCAGTCAAATCATATTATGTCCAGTAAGCACTGTAACTAGTCAAACTGGGTCAACAGACAAAGCTGGCAAGTTGTGGTCACAGCTGTTTTATCGCTCACCTAGAGTCAAAGCATAGAGCTCTGTAACACATTATTTAAACAGTACCCGCCAGTCAATCCTGCTTAATGCCAGCTGGGAATTCTTAACTGTTGAAAACAGTCACTTGTTTGATTTTGACTGAAAGGACTACGTACACTTGGCACAGAATATATGTTAGCATAATAATGTCTTTATTTTGCTTGAGAGCAGTGACACACCTATTTAAAAAAAAAATTGGGGGGGGGGGATTGGGTAATATCATATCAATTTTAAGGGAGCGGGTGAGCACTAGTAATAAATTCCTTTTTATGGAAGGGGCACGAGCCTAGATACCCCTTAGAATTATAAAATTACATTTATATGAATGTACCGGTAACTTGCTCTCAGAACTGGCTGAATAAGTCTAATTTTACATTTGAACTCACGAAGTGTGAAGAAATTTTTTATGGTAAAATTTTTCACACCAAAAATGATTTTTTTTCTCCTGAAATGATTGTATTACAAACTACAGTACCAGTACATGTATGTAATGAAAACATGTGTTATACAGTGGTGAGATTTGTCAGTAACGGTAGTTTTCTTAATTTCAGGACCTTTTTAATTTCATAGACCCTGCATGTACGTTGCTCTGGGGCCTCAATCACCCTCAATCCCTCTGTCGATTACTACATTTCATGGATTTTCATTACCCCCAATCTCACCCCTGGTTATACATGTATTTGTACCTGCCCACTCTTATGAAAATAAGTTGCTTTAGGGTGTGTTTTTTTGTAAAGTGATATACATGTACCTGCATGAGAGTTTGTGGGCCACTGATGTGCACCTCTTTGATGCCAGCTATGCACACACGGTGCTGGGCGTCTTCCCTGGCATGTACCCTGCAAGGAAAAGACAGGGAGAACATTAATGTTATTTGGCATTTTTAGATTTTTCGTGTTGGCAACTTTGTTGTTATAAATGTTACTGATGATGTTCTTGTTTATTTGGGCATGTAAGGTTACGTGAGGACAGAGATGGTTATTGTGATTGATTTTATAGCTACCGTACATTGCACCGAAATGGCAGCATCCAGCTGTATTCTCCCTTGGGATTTGAGATGGTGTTTGGAGTGTTTCATTGGCCCAAATGAGCAGTGGTAATAATGAATTAGTGCCTTGAGCACCAATATTAGGTGGATACATGCGCTTTATAAATTATACGCATAACGGTGTGGTACCCAGGTAATATGTTGTGTATAGTAGGCCTGCAAGTAACAAGTAAAAAGCCAATGTGATGATTTTTTCTTAGGAGGAACACTTTTTGTGCAACTTTCTGCACTAAAGTATGAAAACAATTTGACACCCCTTTATGGTTAATTTTACTATGTTTACTGAAAAGTGCAATTCTTTACAAAAATATTTACAGTTTTTCCATGCTTTTCCAGGCAACTGAGGGGGCTTGTTACAACTGATAATGTAGTAACCAACGGATAACGTATCACCAACTGTAATGTCACACAAATTGACCGATACTGTATCACTAACCGATAATGTAACAGATATTGACCAATAGTGTAGTAAATGTCACTACACTATCGGTCAATATTTGTTACATTATCGGTTAAGACCGATAATGTAACAACAATCGACTGATAGTGTAGTACATTTTTACTACACTATCATGACTATCGGTCAATTTGTTAGTGATACAACATCGGTCAATTTGTGTGACATTATCAGTTGGTGATACATTATTCGTTGGTTACTACATTATCAGTTGTAACCATGGTAACATGGCTATTAATGTGATGTAATTTCAGGAAGACACTGTTTAGTTAAAGTGCTTTTTGGTCAAATGTTGAACCCAAAATTTATTCATTTACAAGTGAGAAAGGTTCACTCATTGGCTTATTGCGATGTACTGACACAACAAATCACCATAGACATGATAGAGAAATTTACAACAGCAAAATATCCAAAATTCTAGCAACTGTTTTTGCTGAAATACATTGTTCGTGTAGCTGTATTGAACACTGAGGTTTCTGTCCGGAATGACATCACAGTTTTGCTCATGAATATGGAAATTCGAATTGAGCATAAAAACAAAAAAGGGAACCAAAATACCCTTTGGAAATGGCAAAACGAAAATTGAAAATAAGGTAAAATGGGACACAAAGGTGCAATTTCAAGGAAATTAAAAATGTTACATTGCCCCTCTAATAAAACAAAGTACTATCTAAAAGTTGTTTTATCTTCCCAACTGAATCATGTATGTAAGGTTAAGCTGTAAAGATGTCACATTCGGTATTCCACCAAACAAAAATTAAAATTCACCATTTAACCCATTTGGATCTTCCAACTCGCATCTCAAATTTCAATTATTTCCCAAGAAAAAAAATAATCTGGCTCAACACCTATTAGTTTTTTAAATATTCAAACTTCAAAATTCAAACATGTTGCAAATTAAATAACATACCGGTACAATCGCTATTCATCTTTAGTACATAAAAGTAAAACTTATATTACATAAAGGCAAAATAAAACCACGTCAAGTATCTGTACCTTTGGCGTTCATTCAACAGATCAAAGAGTTGCCCGCAGTAAATCTCAAAATAGCTGGCCCACACTGCCAACTCCTTGCCGCTCTGCCCGGACGCGTTGAGCGTATTGAATATATCCTCGGCGGCTAGTAGATAGAGGCCTTTGACGCCGTGGTTGCCTAGCATCGTGTGGGTCTTGCCAGCGCCGGTCTGGCCATAGGCAAAACAGGTGGCTTTACCCCTGCAGCGGATGGATGGAGACAATAGGAATAAATGAGTAAGGTTATTAAGAGAGAATGAGAGAAAACTGTTTACGAGAAAATAGAGGAAATCCTAGCGATGTGTCAATGGATAAACGGAGTGCTTTAATTAATGAGTCTAATATATATTAAATTATGATGATCCACTGTAATCATCCGTCCCAAAATAATTATGCAGTGCCAAAATAATGGTGTTTAATAAAAAGTGATTTGATTTCTTTTTTTTTTTTAATAATTCATTGTGATTATCTGTCGAAGTATTATGTTTTGAAGTGACCACAGTTGATCATGCAATGCCAAAATAAAAGTGGTTTTATTTTTACTAACTTTTTTTTTTACCCCCCAAAAAACATTGTCATTGTGATCATCTGTCAAAACAAATTAAAACCATGTTTGAAATAAAACGTGTTGAACATGCAATGCCAACAATTGTCCCCTCCCCCCAAAAAAATTAAAATCACAATTTTTTTCAACCCTGATCACTCAATGACATCAATCAATTTCTAAAAATAAATCACTAAAATACCTGAATGGCCTTGGGCTTTGCTGGTGACAATTTTTTTACAAAATCAATATTAATAAACAACTAAATACCCATCATGTACCGGTACGTGTAGGTAGCTGTACATGAACAGCACATGCTACATGGTTCAAAATGTAATTGAAATCACTATTCCCTTGTTTACAAGCTTCATTTGTACACTTTAAGTTTTAGTACTTGAACTCTGATTACCGTAATTTTTGGAATATAAGCCGCGGCTTATACGTTGAATTTGCCCATGAAAATATTTACTGCGGCGTATACACAGGGCGGCTTATACGTCAAGCCTTGAAGAATGAAACTGAGATTTAAATGTGCATTTAATTAATGTACTAGTAATATAAGAAAAAATCTGTTGCTGAAATGAATTATCAATCGTTACCGGACTTGAGGTACCAGAAAGTCATTAACAAACAGTGGAAGCGCGTCCCAAAAATGTACCAAAAGTGCGGCGGCCTGCCAGCCGGCCGTGCGTGAGTGAAAGCTGTCTTCGTTGCTGTCTGCGGGTTGCAGATGCCCAAAATTGGACTAAACTATTTGTTTTCGTTACAAGAAACAAAAATCGTTTTCCGGAAGAGCACAGGGTGTTGTATAGATATGTAATGTAGATGTCTCACCTGTTGAACATGGTCGCGATGAGAGGTTTGGCAGTCTTAGCATAGACCTCTTGGTTGCTGCAAGACTCTCCAAAGGTTTCATCAAAATGATACTTGTGCTGCAAAAAGACAAATATTGTTAATCCAAATCATGACTCTCAAAATGGTTTTTAGAAAATGCCAAACTGCAAAATATGCGTAGAACTGGGTTGAGAGGCAATTTTATTTGATATTTACGATCTCTCAAATAAAGCTTCTTTTTTTCTGATGTGCATTTTGCAACAGTGTGACATCGCCTCCTCCCCAGAGTCACTTCCTCAATATCAACGGTTTACATGTGTACAGGCTACAGGGTGAGTCAAAAAAAGTGAAACCCAAATGTTGGGACTTTTGTTAATTAATGAGTTCTGCATGTAGCACTTTCAAAATCCAGGATATGAAAGCCCAATTAATAAGCTTTCTTTTAGTACAAGAATCATTCAAATCAATCATGTACTTTTCAAGTTTTTGGAATTTTAAACACAACCACCGTTTTAAAGTATGTCCACGGATTACAAGAAGGTAAGTGTTCTTTCAGCAAAATGAAACAAAATCACATTCGGATGTGTGTGAATTGTTTTCGTTTTGCTTAAAGAACGCACACTTTATTTGTGATCCGTGGACAGAACTTTAAAACGGTGGATGTGTTTAAAATTCCGTAACGTTAAAAGTGCATGAGTGATTTGAATAGTTCTTGCACTAAAAGAAAGCTTATAAATTGGGCTTTCATATCCTATCCTATCATATGCAGAACTTCACTAAAACAATGGGCCCGACATGTGGGTTTTGCTTTTTTTTTTAACTCACCCTGTTTGTCCATTCCATAACAATTTCCCATGTATAGGCCTACTGGTACGTTTAACACGCACAGCAATTTTACATCCTACATTGTACTTTAAAAGTTTTCACAAAATCAGTACCTGAAAATGATTAAAGCCCGGTTTATACTTCACGCGAAAGCTGAAGCGAAGCGAAATTCGTGACGTCAACAATACATTCGAAGCGCATCCACCATTGTTGACGACATGAATTTCGCTTCGCACTTGCTTTCGCGTGAAGTATGAACCGGGCTTCACTGTCTTTCAGCAGGATGTCACCTTACCGAATACTACCACAGACTTTGTGCTTATTTTTGCTTCAAAGAGGAGAATCAAGGCAATTATGAAACGCATTCACAACAGCCATAGCAAAACCAGTCTTCACTGGGCTGTTGTAGTGTGCGTAAACCGTACATGTACATGTACTTGCTCTTTTGTGGATTTTTATCTGTTTTCAAGAAATTACGGGAGTGAAATAAACTAGACAAAAAACATGATGGCTTACCACTTGCATGAACTTTGTGAGATCTACTGCCACTTTAGCCTCGTTAATGACCAAAGTCCCCCGTCCCTCCATTTGGATGACGTCTTTCTCCTTGTCTCTTTCTTCCTTCTTGCTCAACGGCCGCTTCCTGACGCAAACTTTAATCCTCTCCGCCTCGTTTTGGCCAGAGCTCTGCGGTGTCCCATGCTGCTTGATAGGTTGTCCCGGAACCCCGTAATTGTACACAGAATTGTCCCCGTGGTCGATCACCTCGATGAAACTCTTCTTCAGTATCTGGGGAGCTCCGAAATTTGTCCTGTCGACAGCGACAGAAGAGCCATCTGGGGAATCCGAATAACTGATTTCGGAGTCCGAGAGCGACTCCTGCAAGACCAACCTTTTCCTGGCGCTGCTGTGTTTCAGGCGATTGTTTGGGTGTACCTTCGGAGAGGCGGAGGTAGGTTTGACAAATAAGATACCACCCGTTGTCTCCAGCTTACGGACAGTGCTGGGTGACAGCACCCCTGCTTTCAGCTCCTGCCTGGCTACTGAAAGAAGGCTGTCTGTTCCTTTGAGCTGGGAAGAGCTCCGTTGTCCCTTCAAACCCTGAGAGTTGTCTTTGGAACTCACTCCGGGACCCTTTGGTGTGGGAGATTTTTCCAGGTTTTTTAAGGCACTTTGTGGAGGCACAAGGTCTGTCTGCATGTCATCTCTTTGCTGGGTATACTGATGGTCATTATCACACGGCAATAACTGCTTCAGATGTGAAGTCTTCCTCTTTTGACTGTCCACATCTGGAGCCCTTCCCTTGTCCGCCTTGACCCTCTTGACGATGTGAACCAATCGGAAGAGGCGTTTCTTGTCGGCCAGGTCCGTGATGCCGAAGCGGGGATACTCCTGGATGGTCAGGCTGCTCAGCGTGTCCACGCTGCAGACGCCAAGCTGGAGAAAGTTGTCCGTATACTGGGCCAGGTTGGCTTCCTGTAGACAGTCTGATAGTCCGTTCACCATGATGTCTACCTGTGGAAGTCTCAGTCACTCAATGAAGTTGTAGAGCCAAAACCAGCCTTAACACTAGTGGCTCAAACTCTTCAACCTCACTGACAATCCCTTAAAACCGGCTAGATCATTGGTGGACGTTTGCATATCACCTGCCAATAGGAGAAAAAAACATTGAAATGAGGTTGAAATTACTGAATACAACTGTGACAACTGATTGTCCAGAGAGAAATGTTGTAATCACGTTTATAAGTTCTCCTCACAAGTCCATCGCAAGTCAAATCAAGTCAATCACAATCAAGTCAATCACAATTCAGTCCATCACGAGTCAATCGCAAATAAATGGAACGCAATGAAATAAAGTTAATTACAAATTAATACCAGTCGGCTCCGATCCTTAATGATATAAAATTTGTGATTACATGATCTGATACACCGTACCCTCTGGAGACGTGTGTACAATAGGGAACAAAAGATTGTGTACGTCTCCACAGGGCAATTTCTAGATAAATAGGCTACGTCTCCACAAGGTTTTCACGAAATAGATATATACGGATTTTACTCAAAAAGTAGGAATTTCCAAGCTATGTTGATCTGTCGCAAACGGAAGAGTTTTGAAGGGATATTAAGTCCAAATTTCAGCCAAGGAAATTAATTCTGGTTAAAGAGCACTTTCAAACTCGAAAACCTTAGTACATGTATGAGAACAAAGGAATGTCTCCACAAGGATACAAATTCCAGTATGTGTGTCCAAATGAGTTAAGCAACATTTAAAAATAAAATTGCAGGTGAGGCTTGGAACACATAAATACTGGTAGTCTCTGCATGGCAGCATCCCATTCAACAGTTTGCAATTTATAAAATACATTCAGGGAAGACAATCAAAAATGGTTTCCGCATGAATAAGGTCTATTTTGTACATGGTACAATTTACACTTTATCAATGTTCACAAAGATACATTACACTGTACCTGTATATGTACAAATGTACATGAAGTACAGGTACCAGTACTTTCAACAGGACTGACTGACTCAATTGAAGACATTTCATCACTAATCACCATTAATTCTTCAATTCAGTGCTATGTTCATCATCATCTACTGGTACCAGTATCTGCTAATAGCCTGCGGCCTGCCAAATTTTGTCATGGTGAATTGATATTGATCGCTGGTGTCAAAGCTTGGCCATAAACAAAGTGTCCTTGCAGATGAGGATCTCTCATGAAGAAACTATCCCAGGACAGAAGCAGGATTGAGCTGGAATGAATGGGAGGTTGGGAGCTAAGCTCACATTTTCTTTAGGCATTATTCAGAGGGTATTAGCAGGTGGTCTAGGGCTTATTAGAGCCATTGTGGTTCAGGATTAAGCCCTGTGATAAAAAAGTAAGAGCATTTTCACCAGTTTCATACAGGCTACAGGAAGCTTAAACATTGTTCACGTTTCTGGGTTTTCATAAATTATTAAATTATCCTGGAATGATGGAAAGTTACAAGAAATTCCATTCATAATATAATAAGACATCTTCCAAAATTATTATTTTTTTTATCATTAATTTCTTTAAGGCAAAATCTCAAAAATTATCAGAAACATGCTTGGTCACTTTAAAGTGACTATAAAGCATAGTTTAAAAAATCTTTAATAGGATTTTCTTTCCATTTTTTAGTTATTACATTTTGTAAATTAAATTTTTCCAAATACATGTAAGAAAGATCCATCCTCTGTAGAAGATCATACATGTTTCTCCTTGTTGGTACCGTACCCAGTTTGAAATCCTGATTAATATGGTGAACTGTATGGTTTTAGTTGAAACTTTCAGTGGCTGAAGAAAAATACAAGTGACGTTTCTGGATTATTTTGTTGGGTTGGGCTATAACTTTTCAGAGAAATTGTACCGTACTGTCAGGGTCACTTGGACAGCCAAGTGTATATTATCCCTAACAATCCCCATCCAGTCAAACTCCAACACCAGGGTTTGTTGTAATCTGAGCGAGTACATGTACTGCACTAGTACTAGTAGCTGATTGGGTTAGGCCATATTAAATTACTAGAGCGCTAACTCTTTATTCATCCGCACGGAGAAGCTTTGAAGCCGCTCTGGGCGCACATATTTTGAAGTTATCTGCGTGTTTGTAGAACACAATCAAAATTAATGGATTGAATTTTAAAAGTGTACTCTAAATGCAATGTGCAAGTAGAAGATACGCAAACAATTTAAGCGCGTCATGACGGTTAAAAAAATGCCACGGTGAAAAGCATCTGCAGCAGAGGGTGGCTCACAGGTTGCGATGTTTGCGTAGAGCAAAATGAAACGCTCATTTGCTGATCGTGCATTTCGGTTTTGGGCGTATCAGCTTCGATGACGCATCCGTATGGAATACAATCGCAGATGCAAATTGACGTACAAAATACGTGCAAAATTTCTAGTTCTCCATTTGTGTACAAGCATGGATGCGTCCAGCAGGCATCACTTTGTACACGAGTTAGCGCTCTAGTAATTTAATATACCTCTATGGGTTAGGCATACCACCAATGATCAGAGTCCAACAGTGTCTGTGTACAGTTTACCATACATGTTGGAATTTGCCTGAGTGAGGATTCAGAGGAAGGTTCCTAGTATGTAGGAGTTAGGTTTTGTGTCAGACAGGACGCCATTATTAACAAATTACACGTAGTATTCCCAACTTGGTCAGTCGGTGATGAGCAATTTCCTACACAGGACCTACCACACAGAGATTGATAGCTTGCTTATATTTTTAAAAGAAAACATGCAAGCAAATTCCTCTAAAATCAATGTATGTTTTAATAACTAACCAGTTTTTAATGTCTGTATTTTGTGTGTGTATTGTTTTAGTGTTTTAATCCAGGGCCCCCAGGGAGAACAGTTATTGAACAACTGATGGGGCTGCCCTGGTAAAATAAAATGATAATTCAATAAATAAATGAGAGTTCACTTTGGACTCCTTTCTTGTAAGACAAAAATCCACTTTTTATGTTAAATTGAAATACCTGGCGATGTTGAAAAGCAACAGGAATGTCATGGAATGAGGGTACGAACATGTCATGTGAAGACTTACCCGCGCGGATGCAACACGCGTTAAGTATTCACACATGTTCGTACAGTGCTTACGACGAAAGCCTGGGTCTGCGATTTACTTTCTGTAAACACGTCGCCCATGGACAAACATGTATACTTTTTCTAAATTAAGCATTTTTGTAATTCTGGACAGAACGAATATATACATGTACATGCAAACAAAATTTCAGCTTCCTCCATCAGGTATGAATATGAAAAAAAAATATTTGTTGTAATTGTTTTTGCTAGGGCAGCAGAAGTTCACGACCCGGTCGTCAGTCGTAATGCAATGATTAAAGAAATCAGCCAACCTGGGCTAATTTTGTATTTGGTGACTGCAGTTGTGCTATCAACAATGAATATTTTTACTACATGTATGACATTGACATTGACAAACTCCGCACATCGCAAGCAGCCAAGCACCCTTTGGGAACACCCAATAATTTAACTTTGACATGTTGGGCCTGAATGTGTGTCATGTAAATTCAGCCTACAAGTACAACAGGTACAAGTTGTTGAAGTAAGAGATGTGCCCCCAGTATAATGTAGTTAAACATCATGATTATAGATCGGAGCGGAGTGACGTCATCCGATGAAAACATATATGTGTTCTTACTCCTCCATGGTTTAACTTGACGTTTAACTTGACGGTTTAACGTCATCATCATCAGGAGACTGCCGAACTCTTGCTGGTGTAGTAAAACTAGTATTTTAACAAGGGCTACTACGGACGCTGAAAAAAAGAAAATGCTGCAGTTGTTATATTTTATAACGACTACTACATGTACATGTATAGTACATGTAGTAGGCCTACTAAGAGTCCGGCTACTGAAAAATTAGGCTGGCACTAGTACATGTACATCTCATAATAAACTAGTCACTAATACTAATGGACACTTGTAGGCAGTAGTAGAGAAATAGGCCTCACTGCAACGTTAAAGTCGCCTGGCAACAAATTAGGTTGACATGCTTGAGTTGCTGAGTATTTTGTTCAATTGACAAGCAATGAGGTGGTGAAAGTGAAACTAAGCAGTTTCAGTGTCAACATTCAGCAGAAACTGGAAATGGATTAAACTACAACCAGACTTACCCATTTAATTTCTAAATGTTTTGCTTTAGTTTGACCATGATTTGACTATCCGTTCGAATCGTCCCGCCGCTTGACTTGGAATTTGCCCCCGATTCCGCCTTGTTTACATCGCCGTGCGGCGCGGCGGAACGTACATGTACACCGTCTGTTAGCCAGCTAGCCTGGTTCGCGGTCTAGTCAAATATTGTGGCGCGAGGGCAAACGTCTCGGCGGAAACCAGTCCAATAAAACTTACAACAGCGCCCTCATACGGGACGTTGTTGTTTTGCCATAAAACAAGTGCACAATATGAACTATCTCTGACCGTGATTACGAGTTCAAGTTGCATATCTGAAAGTCTTGCATGAAATCGATCAAAACGATCCCTGTCAGAGCTGAAAATGCAACGCCGATGGCACATATGGAACACCATACTATTTGGTCAATCTCCCCCCCCGCCTCCCTTTGAGACCCATTAAAATGACACAGGCCCCGAGGCACTAAGCCAAGGCGATTCATAGTGCGAAGAATCTGAATGCTTTCCAAGGTCCATTTTACACCACGTGACTATTACATTATCACATTATTTCCTCTGCTCAAAAAAATGGCATAAAGTTATGGCGTGTTAAACGTTGCAATATTCAATATTTTGCAATATATATGTTGGATCACAGTGTTCAATATGTGTTTGTTATCTTTTACATTTATGTGCGATGTTCAATATAAGTGTGCGATGTTTTTCATTATTTGCGCGATGTTTAATATATTTGTGCGATGTTTTACAATATATGTGCGATGTTCAATATATGTGTGCGATGTTTTACATTTATATGCGATTTTCAACTTATATGTGCGATGTTTTCAATATTATGTTCGATTTTTTGCATTAAATGTGCGATGTTTTTCGATACAATTGTGTGTGTTGTTTTACAATATATTTGCGATATTCTCAAATATGTGAGCAATGTTTACACATATGTTTGACATTTCGAGCTATTTGTATTCGATGTTTCATCGGTATGTTTGCATTCGATCTTTTGCATAGCAATATGCATTTGATGTTTCCCTTTTCATTGAATGTTTCGTTAAGAGTCAAAGTCTGGTTACTAGACCGCGAAAATCTGACTATTTTGCCTAAAGTCAGTGTATGAGACGTCAGGGGATCGCGTAAAGTGATAAGAGCCAGACCTAAACGGTAAAAACCGGAATTGTGGGTAATTCTTTAAAGCTATAGTCCATCATTTGCAGCCATCCGAAAAGTAACTGGCGTAATTACTGTTGACTGAAAAACAAACTTGGTTGAAAAAGGGAACTAAACTCCCTGTGAAATTATTCTTTCTGGGAAGCTGTCATTTTGTAGTAATCAACGAAAGAAGGCATTTCCAACGGTGATTCTTAAGAAGCACCGTAGGAAAATTTAAATTAGTAGTTCGTTTTGTTATTCATTTAGCGCGCACAAGTATTGGAACGACGTACACGCGCGCGCGGTTGTTATAATTCGTCGGATCAGTGCGCGACGCCGCGTATAGCTGCAATTCAAAACAATTCAAAACATGATTCAATAACTTTTGATTTGAAATTAAGATCTTAGAATGCTGCTTTTCTCGGAATGTACAGCTGTAGCTTAGCTGAAACTTCATCAGGTTAGTTGCTCAGTATCCTTCATTGGATTTTGAACACTTTTGTTGCTTCAAACGAACAAAATGCACTAATTACAAATGATGGACTATAGCTTTAAGCATACGCAATGCGTTCATCATTGTTTGGGCAGTACCCCCAGCTGTGCCTAAATTTGGCAAAGTTAGATGTTTATGAAAAATTTCAAATTATAAGGGGTTAACCTTGCATTTTTTAAGCGAAATTGGGAAAAAAAATCTGATGTTTCTGGAAAATTGCAGATTGTAAGGGGTTAACCTTGCTTTTTAAATACCATTGGGAAAAATTAGATGTTCATGAAAAAAATTCAAATTGTAAGGGGTATAACCTTGCATTTTTTTAAAGCAAAATAGGACACAATCAGATGATTCTGGAAAATTGCAGATTGTTAGGGCTTAACCTTGTATTTCTAGCAAAATTGGGCAAAAAGAAATGTTGATGAAAAATTTTAAATTGTAAAAGGTGTACCTTGTATATTTAGTAAAATTTGGCAAAATCAGATTTGTATGAAAAATCTAAAATGGTAAGGGGTTAACCTTGCTTTTTTAGCAAAATTTGGAGCATATTTTACTAAAATTGGGAAAAAATCAGATGCTTCTAAAAAATCCAGATGTAAAGTTTCCACAAAAACAGCTGTTGAAAAAGAGCCCAATGTTGAACTTTACTGAGTCTGAGGTCTATCGAGGGGACGATCCTTATTTCAACTCCCGGAGATTCGCGGACAGTCTCTATTTTTCTTTTTAAGAAAGTCGAAATAGCTGAAGAGGGAGGTGAAAATCTACATGTGCCCAGATACAAAGAGTAAATATCTACGCGTCTGCCTTTTGAAAATACACAATTGCGGTGTTCATTGTTGCGTAATGATCCGCATAGCACAGGACTGTTTTGCACATTAGGCTGTGTTATCAGTGCAGCTTCTTAACAAACCAAACACACTGGGCTCATTATATCGACTTGTTTTTACCCATTAAGGTAAAGCAAATGGACCCAGTAATCTTCCTGGCGCGTTTGCTCACCTATAAAGACAACTTTTCTCAGTTGAAGGAAAATTCTAAGGTAACGAAATGGCCGAGTGGTTACGATTCGTCGTCCACGGTTAGCGGGGTCCCGGGTTCGAATCCCGCTGGTGTCTTTTTGGTTTTTAACGAATGAGTTCAATTATTCACTATAAGAGATTTAATTTCCCGTCGTAGAGTACCAACAGTACCTTAGCTTAATCGGTAAGCACTGCTGCTGGTACTGTCCGCGAGTTCCAGGTTGGCGCCTTCGTACAGGTTCAGGGCATGTGGTCCACTCGGAGGATCAGGGCTTAGGGGCCGCCCTGTTCCTCCCTTAGCTCTTTGCTTTTACATGGTGCCTGGCCCTCCGGGGTTATATGGATGGATAGGGAAGGAAGTGTGTATTGGTCGGGGACGCCGAGACCCCGGAAGAGAACTAAGGGATCGGCTGGGGCATTGTTATGGCTCAGACCGATCCCTGAAAGCTTGACTAGCACATAACTTTTTGATTTTTTTTTACCCTCTATCTTTTATTGGTTTAGTTTGATATCTACAGCTGCTCGGCAGGTCTACGGGTAGTATCAAAATTGAAACAAAGGTGTATGTCATAAATCAATGAATATTTCATAATTGACTATAATCAAAACGGAGTTTCGTCTGATCAATTTGACTATCATTATATAATGACGCGATTGCTAATTGACGTAAGAAACGCCATAAATTATACCGGGAAAGAATAAAGATGTACATTGTAATATAAATATTATTTATACATCTTTCAAATAACGTGTCTTTAATTGTGAGCATTCCAAACAATACAGTAATTCGCAATGGTATTAGAATGGTATATGATAGCACGATCAATGCGTCTCTATTAAATTTAAAAATATATAATTTAGGCCCCTATGTGTGAAATATTCTTTGATTGACTATGAGCATTCCATACGAATGAGTTAATTCGCAAAATATAGCAACAACAAAAGAGAAAGGAAAAAGAGAACATTGCTTTACCCTAAAAGCTGGAAAAATAATTTGTTTTAAAAAATTCAAATGGGACACTTCATGTATTGATTTAACAGGTTGCAAGGAGTAGGCCTTACATTTTAGCAAAATTGGGAAAATCAGATGTTTCTGGAAAATTGCAGCTTGTAAGGGGTTAACCTTGCATTTTTAGTAAAATTTAGATGTTTATGAAACATTTCAAATAGAAAGGGGTGAACCTTGCATTTTTTTGCAAAATTGGGCAAAATCAGATCTTTCTGGAAAATTTCAGATTGTAAGGGGTTAACCTTGCTTTTGTAGTAAAATTGGGAAAATTTAAATGTTTATGAAAAATTTCAAATTGTCAGTGGTTAACCTTGCATTTTTTAGCAAAATAGGGCAAAATCAGGTGTTTATGGAAAATTTCAGATTGTAAGGGGTAAACTTTGCATTTTTTAGCAAAATTGGGCAAAATCAGATTGGTATGAAAAATCAAAAATTGTAAGAGGTTAACCTTACCAAATTATGGCAAAATCAGATGTTTCTGGAAAATTGCAGATTGAAAGGGGTTAACCTTGCTTTTTTAAGCGAAATTGGGAAAAATCAGATGTTTCTTGAAAATTGAAGATTGTAAGGGGTTAACTTGGCAGTTTTAGCATAACTGGGCAATATCAGATTTATATGAAAAATCTCAAATTGTAAGGGGTGAACCTTGTATTTTTAGCGAAATTGGGCAAAACAGATCTTTCAGGACAATTTCAGATTGTAAGGGGTTAACCTTGCATTGTTAGTGATATTTGGCAAAATACGATGTGAATGAAAAATCTCAAATTGTAAGGAGTGAACCTTGCATTTTTTTTAGCAAAATAGGGCAAAATCAGGTGTTTATGAAAAATGTTAGATTGTAAGGGGTTAACCTTGCATTTTTAGCAAAATTTGGAAAAATCAGATTGGTATGAAAAATCAAAAATTGTAAGAGGTTAACCTTTGCCCAATTAGGGCAAAATCAGATGTTTCTGGAAAATTGCAGATTGAAAGGGGTTAACCTTGCATTTTTGGCAAAACTGGGCTATATCAGATTTTTCTGAAAAATCTCAAATTGTAAGGGGTGAACCTTGCATTTTTTTGCAAAATTGGGCAAAATCAGATGTTTCTGAAAAATGTCAGATGTAAGGGGGTTAACCTTGCTTTTTTAGTAAAATTGGGCAAATTTTAATGTGTATGAAAAATTTCAAATTGTTAGGGGTTAACCTTGCTTTTTGTAGTAAAATTGGGCAAATTTAAATGTTTATGAAAAATCTCAAATTGTAAGGGGTGAACCTTGCATTTTTTTAGCAAAATAGGGCAAAACCAGGTGTTTATGAAAAATTTTAGATTGTAAGGGGTTAACCTTGCATTTTTAGCAAAATTGGGAAAAATCAGATTTGTATGAAAAATCAAAAATTGTAAGAGGTTAACCTTTGCCCAATTAGGGCAAAATCAGATGTTTCTGGAAAATTGCAGATTGAAAGGGGTTAACCTTGCATTTTTAGCAAAATTGGGCAAAATCAGATGTTTCTGAAAAATGTCAGATGTAAGGGGG